ATAAAATACCATTTTTAAGAAAAGAAAAATACGCAAAAATACGTAAAAATACGTAAAATGAAAACCTAAAAATTAAAAAAAATCCGTATTTATTAGTTTTGCCTCAAACTTTTAACTCTAAAAAATACAATTTTTAAGAAAAGAAAAAACGAGACAATACGCTTATAATACGTAAAATAAAAACCTAAAACCTTAAGAAAAATTAATTGGTAAAAGTTTACGCAATTATTCGTAAAAATACGTTTCTGGAAAGCCTAAGCACTTAAAAAAAGATATATAGCTTGGTATGATAAATACGTAAAAATACGTAAATATACGCAAGTTCTTTACCAAAACGTTGAGCATACGAAAACATACAGGGTGTCCCACGAAAGGTGACAGTTTGTGAATAGTTTTGAATGTTTTCTTCCATATACTGTATTAGATATTAGATTTTTTGCAGTTTTAGTTAAAAATCTTTTACTCAAATATATTTTACTTTGAAATCAATTTTACTATAATATGACTGCCATATATTAACTTTTGGCATCTTATACTCAAATATATTTTACTTTGAAATCAATTTTACTATAATATGGCGCTACTTTTATATTATTCTTTTGGGGTTCAAACAACTTAACAAACTATGGAAGAAGACATTTTAAACTTTTTTTTTCGTGGGACACCCTCTACCTAAAATTACGCATATATACAGGGTGTCCCAATAAACATGGGAATTCAGTGACGAATTCGATATCGTCTTTTAAATAAGTCTTTGATTTAGTATAGTGATACCTACTGAGAAAGCTGTAATCTGTAAGAGTTTCCTCTGCTATGTTACATTTTGTTTGTTTATGTTTTGACTGCATATCGGTTGTACTTAGAAAATTACAGTATAAAAACAGAGTAAACTTGTCCGTCTTCACTGTTTATCTTGCGGAGAAATAAGACATATATCTTTACAGTCTTTACTCTTTTACCATCTCATAAAATAAACTCTAGCAAACGTAATAATATTATGGCTTTTGAAATTAGGTATTATACAATGCTAATTCATAACAAAGACGATATATCCAATTCGTCACTGAATTCCCATGTTTTTTGGGACACCCTGTACCTCCTGTACCATATATATAGAAGCACGTTAGTATTTTTAGGTTTTTGGGTTAGTAGGGCAAAGCCATATTATACAATAAACAGGCACTCATTTCACCTTAAATTTTATCTTCCAGTGGGAGGAGAAGCCCCCCCCCCTCATTTTACCAAAGTGAATAAATACTTTATTCACTTTGTCATTTTACGGCCCTTAATCGTATTCGTTTTGAGAAATAAGAAAGGCAAGGTTCTGAATTTTTAAAAGTATACACAACAGAAGACGACATTTGAACTTAGCTTTTAAACTAACATGGAGCTTTTTCGTGTCATTGTATACATTGCGTACACACACTCGCAGACAGTTAGTAGTTACAATGTATAGTGTATACTGTTTGCCGGTCGATGCTCGACACTGACAGGCGACAACGGTTGTTACCGTTAGTTATTTATCATTCAGAACTAGTAGAATTTTCATATATAAATCTTCAAAAAGTTAGCTTTAAACTACATTTATAATTAATCTACAGTGTGAGTAAAAAAGCTTAAGCAGCTCTTCCAATTAAAAATCGGTAATTTCCTAGAGAACGATTTTTGGCCCCCCCCCCCCCTCTTATCAATTTTGTGCATGGTAGATCTATGTAACACATGGATTAGTTGATCATATGGACGCAGCGCTCGGCCCCCAGCTTGTCTTAGCCGCGGCGCTCGGTCACCTGGCCTGTCCTAGCTGCAGCGCTCGGCCCCTAGTTTGTCCTAGCCGCAGCGCTCGGCTCAGAAATTGCCTGAAAGGGAGGACCGGCTATGTAAGGTATGTTAAACTGAGTATGAAGTGTTGTGGAAAACTTTGTTCGTATTCATTTGAGAAATATTAAACTTTTAAAGATCTGTAAATCCTGAGTTTGAGCGCAAATTCGACGTTCAAAACTCCTACTTTGGGGGTGGATACGTTTTCAGAATTATTTTTTTTTATTTAATCGTTCTCTATAAGAAATTGTAGACAAATTTGGCCTTCGCACTTTGGGGTCCGTCATAGTATACGATTTTTAGACCCTCCCCGTCCCCCTCCTACCGATTTTGTTCATGACCACTTTTTCAACAATTTTCAATTATTTATATATTTAGGGTTAGGTTAGGACACTTTCTGGGCCGAGCGCAGCGGCAAGGACAGGCTAGGGTACCGGGCGGGGGCGGTGGGGTGTCCAAAAATCGTATATTAGGAAATTACCGCACTTTGTCCTATTTTTGGAGCCGCACCCTTTTTCCGCCCTCCTATCGATTTTGTTCATGACCTCGATTTTACCCATGTGGTTGAGTTACGTAGACGCGCAGTTCAGCTACTACTTTCTTTTAACTTGCTTAAAAGTTTGCACCCCCTTTTTCCACTTTTCTTTTTTTGTTCATGAATCATACTTGCCTAACATAGGCATATACTAAACTATCAGTTGCCGCAGCACTCGTTTCCGTAATCTTTCCATCTCAAGATCTAGACTTAATTTCGAATTAATATGGTATCCACTGGACTGTCTTAATTGCTCTTGTTTATTTAGAAGGCTCAGTTGTTTTAGCTCTTAAAGGATCTATAAGCGTAATTTTAAGCGACCTTTCATGCAAAGATGCCAATGCCCGATTCACAACGAAAACTTTATCTGATCATAAATATGGGAGATACCGTCGTTTTTCTGAATCAAAGTGTTTTTTTTCTGTGTTCTTCTCCATTTCTTTTTATAAACAAGAAATGCGCAAGTCATTTTGCGAAGAAATTGCAAATGAAAATAAACAGTTGGAAAATAAACAAAGACATTAATATCTAATCCATACTTGATCAGACAAAGCTTACAAGGGCACTGTTGAAATTCGGGCATTGCCATTTTTGCATGGAGGATCACTTGAAATCACGCTTACAATTCCTTTAAGAAATCAGAATTCTCAACAATTTAACAGAAACATCAGATAGAAAAAAATTGTTTGTAATGAAACCTCTTAAAGTTTAATTAACAAGGTTTTAAATGACTCCAAACTTTTTCACGTATTCTGAGAATCAAATAATCGATAGCAAAAAAAATCCAGCGAATTTTTTTCCATCTGATGTTTCTGTTAAATTGTTGAGACTGACGCCTACAGTTAATAAAAGAGCTTACGTTTTTATTACATTAGTCTATTTGTTAAATTTTTGTTTGTTTGCTCCTACTAAACGCTGAATCGGCTGAACTAAATAGGTAAAATTTCTGAGCGAGACATAATACAGAGATGGTTTTGATCAGTCAGGATTGAAAAATGTGTACTGCCCATGATATATTTTATATATCCCCCCCCCCTTGATATATTTTATGTAGAATTTGGTCTACTTTATGTCAAAACAATGAACAAAACCGTGTGGAAGGTGGAATGTGTGTAAGCAAGGTTTGGACTTATATAAAAAAATTCTTCCATTTGAGTGAAAAAATTTTTAAAATCTTTTTTTAAAAATCTAAATTAAAGGACGAGAAGTTGCCCGAGTTTCCAAGTAGGGGACTTCTCCCACAATTTTCCAGTGGGGAGCCGGAGTTGGACGTCTCCCCTTCCCCTTTCTCCATAAGCTGCCTCTGTAGACTCTAAACACAATGTAACGAAAAGGGCCTTGTGTTGGTTTTTTATTTTGATTATTCTTTATGTTTTGAACTTCTATTTTGTAAGGAAATCTAATCTGTAGATTGGTTAATGCATACTCCTGGAATGCATGCAGCATACAGACCTTCTTTAATTAATGTTTGTCATCTATTGATTGAGTTGAGTAATTGAACGTTACTACGAAGTGCAACATGAGAATTGTATTAATTGCTTGTAATGAAACCTCTTAAAGTTTAATTAACAAGGTTTTAAATGACTCCAAACTTTATCACGTATTCTAACTTTAAGCAGTGGTTTATCTTTATCGTTTAATTTAAAGTTATAGGGGAAAAATTATTTGTGAAGGTAAAATGCGTTTTTTAGTATCCAAAGGAATTAAATAAATATTGCAACCCTACAACTAAAATCAATGCAAGCAGTGCAATTTATCTTAAGCTTAAAATATATCTTCGGTTAGATGAGTTACTTAAGGGATTGTGTATTGTTCTGCATGCATACACTATACATAACATAATAGTTACTTGCAAAGATAATAGATTATATGATTGAAATTTCCAATGAAAATATGAACCAACGTTTGAGCAACAAAAAAATGACTGAAGAAAAGTCTTTAATACTTATCTTAAAAATGGAAAAAGCGAATATTTATGTTTCTGTATTTGTGTGTGTATGTGTGACGTGACGTGTGTGGAGTGTTTGGATAGGATGTTGCGAGGGAGTATAAGCCCTAGTTTAAATGGGTTGAGAGGAGTGCACCTTTGAGTGACCTAATTTTTCCTTGTCAGACGGATCAAACTCAGAGTCAGTCAGAGCCTACTATACTCAGTTCTAATTCAACATATGTGAGCTATGGGTTAAGTTTACAGTGTACACTGTACACGCAATCTTATGGAATCATTTCAGATTGAGGCTCAATTCTAGAATACAAAAAACTTCTTTTCTTGTAACATATTTCCGATGTACAAAAAAGGGGTTTATTTGCTTTCCATATAACTCAGATTAATTTAATAAAGATTCGTGAAATCAAAGAATTTAAAGTCATACAATACGTATATTTCATGCACTATATTTCAAGATCAATTCAAATCAAAACTTATATTTTACTGCAGGTGTAATTATATCAGATGTTAAGAAAACATTAGTGCATTAGATATATGCACTGCAGGAGAACTTAGATAGCCTAGAGCTGTTTTCACAAAGAATCCTTAAGATAAATATTTTTTAAGGTAAGAGATAGCAGTTGGTTGAGTAGGGTGGTAAACTAAAATGGTTGACAGACACGCAATTAAAGTAATTATAATTAAGAAATAATTTTTTTAGTTTATCTTCAGAATTTTTCAGATTTTCTGTGAAAGAAGAGAATGTATAAAGTTCCTCGAATTGGATAATTCTGATCAGTTTTAAACCCCCGAGAGATTTCAATATAATAATCTACTGAATATATTGGGAAAGGATAATAAACGAGAAGATCTAGAATGCATCTGGAAGTGTTGATGATATTACTTGTATTCTGCTCTGGCAGCCAAGAAGCATCTATGGATAAAGATCATGATAGAATCATTCATGGTAAACCCCTGAGTAATAAGGTAATTTGCCTTTTAATTATGTAATCAATCTTATTTATTGAGATAATTGCCTATTTATAAGTTAATTATCTTAAGTGGCATAATTCTCCGGTACAAGCTAATAGACCTCACTTCATTCTTGAAAAAGTAAATTCATTTATTGTCTGAGGGGTGGATAGTAGGACATTCAGCCTGATTTCATTTAATTTAAATCTACATAAACGCTTGATATTGTAGAAAAATTTGCTTGCAACCTGTTTTATATTCCAGAAATATAATATTTACTTCCTGAGAGTCGCAAAAAAGATTTATTTTCGAATTTTTGAAAAGTTTGTTAGACAAAGAGTATTGCGGATTTTTCAGAAATAGACGAAAAGTCGGATGTGTAAAATTCAATCTGTACGCAGGCGTATATATACTATACAGTATACACTCAAGTTTTTCTGCAATTTGAACTCCTTTTTAGAGTTAAACATACGGAGTTCTCTGCCTTCATAATCATTCAAAGGTTTAAAGGGTAATTGTCCATTTATGTTTAGTAAGTTGTAGTTGAGGTTTAGCCGAAGGTTAACATTTTTTGCATTCCCATTCATCAGTCTTGACATCTGTTAAAGAGGGGTCATTGTAGCGTGAGTTAGGGAAGCTCAAAAACTGGTTTTATTGCTAATGATAATCAACAGTTCAAAAAAAATATTCTTCTCCGTACTTTTTCTACTCCTTGGTTTATTGCAAACGATGCATTTAATCTTTAATTATTTATGTTACATTTTCTCTTCTAAAAGAGAACTTTTGGGAAATCTAAGATTTCTTATTATTAGTGAAAGTTTAAATAGAAGGATTTTAATTAAATCAAACTCAAAGTAGAGTTATACAAGCATCCAGATAGAAAACTTCACAACTCATTCAAGAAGAAGAAAAAAAAATATTTTATTTAAGGGATTGTTACCGAAACCGCTTAAAAAAAGTGGCATGTCCGATTCACAACGGTGCCATTTAACTTAAAACTTACACCTTTATCCGAATATCATAATTGTTTTTTTTTACATTTTCTTTCTTAGATTAGACAAAGGTTGAAAAGGTTCTGTTGTGAAGCGAAAAAAACATTCCATTCTAAAAATTAAGTGTAACTTAAAATAACTTACACACTCCACTTCAACAACTCGAATCGAGAATTTTAAGAATTAATTGATATTTTTTATGAAGGAGCATGAGCATGGTGGAGAGGAGGGGGACTTTGAGTATGATCACGAGGCATTCCTGGGGGACCAGGCAGAGGAGTTCGACGAACTTTCTCCAGGTTCAAATACTTTCTTTCAACTTCACTTTTTACTTTCACTTATATTCTTATTTCCCGGTAATACATTTTTCCTTCCCTTATAAATTCTTTGTTTTTTCTTCTTTCTCTTTTATACGTATTATTTATTTTCCTTCTATTTAATTTCTATGGATCCTGATGACTTTATTGAATAAATAATAACGAGGATGGAGAAATAATAATGAAGAAATGAATGATTGTATGATTACACATTTTCATGAATCTTTTAAGAAATTAGTAATAGTTAGAAGAAACTCGTTTGCTAAACGGAATCAATTTTGTATTCATGTTTTTAAAGATTTAGTATATATTCATGAAAAAAGATTTAAGAACTTATTAACTATGTTGTGAGCTGTTAGCGTAAAAACAGAGTGTCCCACGAAACATGGCAGCGGAAAGATCACTTGAAAGTCGTCTTTGATATTTGAAATTACTTGCGGCATTCATATGTAAATCTGATTTCAGGAAGTAAATTCTTGTATACATTTTTATATAGTACCCCTAGTCCTGACAATTCCAAAATGTGGTCTGCCCTTTTGTGAATTTAATAATTCATTTTTAATTTCCCTAATTTCCTTTGAAAGTAACTCATGCAACTCAACCCAAGAACATGGCAGAATATATTTTCTTTAAAATCTTTGAAGAAAAAACTTTTAGATTTTACCATAAATAATAAATATTTTACCATAGATAATAAATATTTTACCATAGATAATAAATATTTTACCATAGATAATAAATATTTTACCATAGATAATAAATATTTTACCATAGATAATAAATATTTCTTACAGCTGAATCTCAGCGACGTCTTGGGATAATTGCAGACAAGGTAAACTTACAAAATAAAATAAATATCTAATATTTCGATTTTTTGTTTCCGCCTTTGTTCTAAATACAATCCCTTCAAATTATAAAAATTCAGATAGATGCGGATAAAGATGGCTTCATAACAATTCCTGAACTTCATGACTGGATAAAAAATACGCAATCGAGGTATTTTTGAGTTTATTTTTATCTCAACTTGAATACTGGGTTATTGTTTACCATTTTATCTTCATTCTTCACTTCTCATTTATTTTTCCAGAAATCATCTGTCATTTCCAAAACATTGTTTATTTTCCAAAACGTCGAATATTTTTTTCAAATTTCATGCTCAGAATGCTTTAGACCCGAGTTTTAAATTTAAAATGACTTTTATTATTCTAGGCTTTCGGAGCTCCCTTCTTTAGCAACAATTTAAACTTTTAATGGTGGCCTTTTTTTGTCGTAAAAGTAAAACTCTTAATTTGCTGATTTTGCTGTAAACATTTTGGTAAATTTCTAAAAAAAATTAAAATCGACATTTTTCTAGGTTAAAGTCACTTTTAACTTAAACCATCAATAAACCTTCCCTGGGATAGTGTGGGTTGCCACAAAAATGTGGGCCCTGATCTGTGTAGCCATTATGACGTTTATTGGATCCAAACGGAAAGACAGACTAGCAAAGTACAAATTCGAACTTTCTGTTATTTACTTTGTTTTATTATAGATACTATTTTTCTTTTTCAATCATAGTTTTATTATTGAACAAAATATATTTACAAGAATTGACCTATGTTAGGTATATAGATGAGGATGTAGAAAGACAGTGGCAGAACTATAAACGGTTAGATAAGGTGAATTTGATTTTATTATAAACATTCTTTAGTTTAAAATAGACAGTCCAAAATTTCCAGAATTCTGACTCTATTACAGAGCAGATCAATGTTCAACTTTTAACTTAAAAAATTGTATTAAATATATGATTCACTCTTTAATTTTGCGACAAACGCTTGTTTTTGGGACTCCAATCTCAAAGCAAGGGAGGTGGAGTGTCCTTGAACTCCGAACTTATTTTAGACTCAAGCTTGCTAACTTTATTCAATCCTAGTTTTGTATGCACTGCACTGGCCACAGGAAATCTGTCAATTTTTTCATATTTGAAGATATAATTTTAAACTCATCAGACTTGTTTGGTTTCTGTTTATGATTAATATTCTACTGTTTGTTTTTATGATTTTAGGAAACCATAAACTGGATCGAATACAGAACAGCAATATATAGTTTTCTAGGTAATCTTTTCTGGTTTGGGTAATACTAGTATAGATATTAACAGAGACAAAAAATTATGCTCTTGTAGAGTTCTTTTCTTAAAGCTTAAATCAAGAAATCAAATGGCGTTTTTCCAGTCTTTTTTGGTGCATTAGGTTCATCCACCTTTTAAGGGATTGTAAGCGTAATTTTAAGTAAATATTCCTGATTCACAAAAGTTATTTTCAATTGTGGGTTCTCTACAATGTTGGCTTGCGCATTTCTAATGCAGGAAAACATACAGGAATTATCAGAACTTAACACTTTTAAATCTAGAAAAGCGACAATATCTTCCATATAATGGATCAGATAAAAGTTTTAAGGGTAACATTGTAAATCGGGCATTGCCTTTTTTTGCCTTGAGCTGGTCACTTGAAATTACGTTTACAGTTATAAACATTCTCACAACTCAAGTATTAACCTGTGTAATTGAGAAACATTAAGCTCACAGAGGACACTCATAGAGGACACTCATAGAGGACACTCATAGTGGAGACACTAGGGGACACTCATAGAGGAGACACTAGGGGACTCTCATAATGGACACTCATAGTGGACACTCATAGAGGAGACACTAGGGGACACTCATAATGGACACTCATAGAGGAGACATTAGGGGACACTCATAGTGGACACTCATAGAGGAGACATTAGGGGACACTCATAGTGGACACTCTAGAGGAGACATTAGGGGACACTCATAGTGGACAGTCATAGAGACATTAGGGGACACTCATAGTGGACACTCATAGAGGAGACATTAGGGGACACTCATAGAGGACACTCATGGAGGACACATTAGGGGATACTCATGGAGGACACATTAGGGGACATTCATGGAGGAGACATTAGGGGACATTCATAGAGGACACTCATAGAGGAGACATTAGGGGACACTCATAGAGGACACTCATAGAGGACACATTAGGGGACACTCATAGAGGAGACATTAGGGGACACTGATAAAGGACACATTAGGGGACACTCATGGAGGAGACATTAGGGGACATTCATAGAGGACACTCATAGAGGAGACATTATGGGACACATTAGGGGACACTCATGGAGGAGACATTAGGGGACATTCATAGAGGACACTCATACAGGAGACAGTAGGGGGCACTCATAGAGGACACATTAGGTGACACTCATAGTGGACACTCATAGAGGAGACATTAGGGGACACTCATAGTGGACACTCATAGAGGAGACATTAGGGGACACTCATAGTGGACACTCATAAAGGACACATTAGGGGACACTCATGGATGACAAATTAGGGGACGTATAAATCGTTGACAAGATTATTTTGATTAAGATGAGGGAGATGTTGATGAATCGGAGGATGGATTTTCCTATAAAGAGGTTGGTTGAGGATTCAGATTTTTTTGTGTGTGCAACTTCAAAATTATATTTTTTAAATTTTAAATTTATATCCAAAACATTCCGTTGTAGATACAAATGTAGGCTGAACAAATGATTTAATTATTTTATCAAGAAGATTTTATTTTGATTTTTATTTACAAATTCAAACAAGAACTGTTTTTTAGATCCTTTTAAGATCCTTTTCCTGATTTTCTTTGTTCTAAAATATTTCGAATGATATTTTCTCACGCATACTCGATTATTGTAGATTTAAATATCACTGGTATTGTACACTGTACACTGTACACTGTACAGTACACAGAGTGTTCTCACGCATACTCGATTATTGTAGATTTAAATATCACTGAGCCCAAAACTTAAGACAGGGTATCGTTATGAAAACCAGTTTTGAAACCCGGGTTGCATGAATGGGGTTAGGCAGTTTTGTGGATATAAATATTTTGTAATGAAATATTATTTTATTTAGTTTCTTTATATTCTCCATTATTTTAAAATCTCCCAAATCAAAATCTACACAAATGTTAAGACACCAAAAAGGAAACTCGGGAGTTTCCATCAACGAAACTCTTTTAAATTTTGGGCTCTGGTATTGTACACTGTACACTGTACACTGTACACTGTACACTGTACACTGTACAGTACACAGAGTGTTCTCACGCATACTCGATTATTGTAGATTTAAATATCACTGGTATTGTACACTGTACACTGTACAGTACATAGAGTGTTCACTAAGGATAATATAATTTACAAAACTTTTATTTGTTAGAAACAAATTTGGCTTTGGAAATCCTCTGAAAGATACAAAGAAAACTTTTAAAGATGTTTAATTCACTTTTTATTTTATCTATCTGTAGATGGAGGCCCGAGATGCCCGGCGTTGGCAGTTGGCTGATACAGATCAAGATGGGGAGCTCACAAAGCTAGAATTCCAGGTAAACTAACTATCTATCTATCAATTAATTTATTGGTAATTTCCAAGTCCGTGATTCAAGAGTATATATTTTCTTGAGATCCTATCATATAAAAAGATATTTTTTCTGAACAATGATATTTTATTTAGGGATCTTGCATGCCGATGTAAAAATACATTTATTCAGGGATTTCTGCACCCTGAGCATGCCGAGCATATGAGAGATATTGTTGTGCAGGAAACTCTAGAGGATATTGACAAGGTTTATATTTCCAGTATTATATCAAATAATCAAATAACATCTTGGAATGGGGGGGGAGGAGAATTTACAGATTAAAATGGGACTAAGAGAAAGAAGAGGATAGAGGAGTCTTGGGCTGTAATAAATGTCTGGACTGGATGGAAATGGGAAGGGACAGAGGGAACTAGCAAGGGACAGAGGGAACTAGGAAGGAACAGAGGGAACTAGCAAGGGACAGAGGGAACTAGGAAGTAACAGAGGGGACTAAGAAGGGACAGAGGGAACTAGGACGGGACAGATAGAACTAGGCAGGGACAGAGGGGACTAAGAAGGAACTGATAGAACTAGGAATGGGACAGAAGGAACTAGGAAGGGACAGAAGGAACTAGGAAGGGACAGAGGGAACTAGGAAGGAAACAGATAGAACTAGGAAGGAACAGAGGGGACCATGAAGGGACAGAGGGAATTAGGAAGGGACAGATTGAACTAGGAAGGGACAGATAGAACTAGGAAGGGACAGAACGGACGGGGTTAGGACAGGTCTGGGAAAAGGTTATTAAGAGACTTGAGGTCTTGTGGGAGTTTAAAAGGCGGTTAGAAAGTAATGGGGGACTAAGGACAGATAGAAAGGCCTTTTGCGGACAACGTACCGTGGATGATTTGTATGAGCTAAGGGGACTGAGGACGGTTGTTAGAAAGATTTGGGAATTTAATGGGAAGGGGCAGAAAAGTAATTGGAGATCATTGATTTTGTTCATTCAAAAATTATGTAAGACATCCTAATAATACAAAGTGAATCAGAAGAAACAAGTTTCAGGACTAGGATTTTTACGTTAGTAATAAACACATCATGACCGATATATACGTCATTAAGAAATTAATAAGATTTTAAAGAATTAAACGAATTATACTTCGAACAAGTATTTAGTATAATAATTTACATGAATATTTACGTATAGCAAACTATATCGTATTTCAGGACAAAGACGGACAGATTAGTGTTGCAGAATACATAGGTGGGAATGGTTTTTATTCAAATGGACGTCATTATAATTTTAAGTTCCTGTAATCCTGTAATCCTGTAATCCTGTAATCCTGTCATCCTGTACCTTTATTTTCAAATATCAACCAAAAATTTTCTTAATTGAGGATAAAATTTCCATTAAAGGTAAAAATCTCTTAACAAATAAAATATCTTCTAGTGAAATTTTAGTTTTAATATTTTAAATGTATTCATATGCACAGTGTACAGTGTACTGTTGCAATGCTGCAGTGTTGCTATGTACAGTGTATACTGTATAGTGTACAGAGTACAGTATTTGAATAGTAAGCTTAAATTGTGCAGGTGATATGTACAAGGGTGGAGAAGAGGGAGGAGCTGAACCAGACTGGGTTCAGACAGAGAGAGAACAGTTCCAGAAATTCAGGGATAGGTAGGGAACAGTTTAGAGATAGGAAGGGAATAGTTAAAGGGGGATAGTTCAGAGATAGGGAAAATAGATCAGAGCTGAAAACTTTAGAATGGGATATCCTTAATCACGATTGGTAAATTAATCTGGATATTAATAACAAGAGGAGAACAAGCATTATTTAATCTGGAGATTAAGAAAACGCAATAATCTTGATATCCACCATCCTAAAGTTTTCGGCTCAGTTTTAGGGGGAATAGTTTGGATTGGTAGGGGGTGGGGTAGTTCAGGATGAATGGGGTTAGGCAGTTTTGTGGATATAAATATTTTGTAATGAAATATTATTTTATTTAGTTTCTTTATATTCTCCATTATTTTAAAATCTCTGATGGATATATTGATATATTTGTTTAGTAACAGGGATGGATATATGGATATATTTGGTTAGCAACGGAGATGGATATAGGGATACGTTTGTTTAATAACAAGGATAAATATATGGGGATATATTTGTTTTGCAACGGAGATGGATATATGGATATATTTGTTTAGTATTAGAGATGGATATATGGATATATTTGTTTAGTAACGGAGATGGATATATGGATATATTTGTTTAGTAACGGAGATGGATATTTGGATATATTTGTTTAGTAACGGAGATGGATATATTGATATATTTGTTTAGTAACGGATATGGATTTATTTGTTTAGTAACGGAGATGGATATATGGATATGGAAGAAGTAAAATCCTGGATAATTCCTCCCGACTTTGATCACAGGAATTTATTTCATGAAAATCTAAATTTGAATATTTGAAAACACGTTATTGTTAAAAATCACATGGAAGTATGTAAAGTTAGTTTTTAAATATTTTCTATCATTTAAAAAAAATGAAATATTGTTCAGTGAGGCTGAGGCAAAACATTTAGTATTTGAGGAAACTAATCTTTAAAGCGTTTTTAATAAATTTTTTTAACGGGACTTGCAGTTAGTAATCTGAAAACCCTTCATTTAAAGGCTTTGAAAATAGAAATCTCAGAATCGATTATTTATCTTTGGTTTTCTTTCAGAAAATTTGAACTTTTAAGAAAGAAAGTATTTTGAAATATTTGTTGTCATTTTAAATATTAAAACTGACTACGCTTATGCAGGCATTAGACTTGCTAATGTATATTTTAAAAAAGTAATGGCGTATTTTTTTATAATTTTTTAACTAAAGAGAAAAGAAAAAGTAGTAAAAACAACAATAAACTTCATTTTGTTTACAATTATGCGGAATAATTGATAACTGGAATAGTGAAAACTTGTTTAATTCTTGTGAAACAGTTTTTAAGGATTATGGATTTAACAGGCGGATGTAGATCAGGATAATAGGCTTACTAAACTAGAGATTTTGGATAAGTATGATCTTTTCGTTGGATCTCAGGTTAATACTTTTCACTTATTTATTTATTCATTTATTCTAAAAATCATACTTAATATCTTCGACTAAATATGGTAACATGGCTACTTAAGCACGTGATTATTAAAATTAACAGAAAAAAATTGAGCAAGACGAATCTCTTATAGAGAAGAACAAATAGAAAACAAATCTTTAATTTAAGGAATAATAAATCTCCACTGACAGACGTCTATTAAGTAGGCTGTAGGCGTGATTTCAATTTGTAGGTTCACAACAGTACCCCTGAAATTTATTCTTATTTATCTATAGAAACGGATGTAATTGTTGATAAATTCGTTTTTAAACAAAAACTATTAATATTTACTGGCAAATTGTATGTCGCAAAAAAAATGTTATTCAAATTTTTTAAACCCGTGTTCGACAGATTATGTTCTGGATTGTCGAGAAATATGTAAAGAAATTAACACAAGGAAACCGTTGAGTTCACATTGTGCGTTAGTGAACATTCTGGTAATTTGAACACCATTTTAGAGATAAACACAAAGATTACTCCGTCCTTCAAGGGTACGTCGAGAATCGGGCATGCCAATTTCTAAAAATGCAAGGTCGCTTGAAATTATGCCTACAGTCCCTTTAATAAATGTGTCTGTTAGTGCAGACTTTATAATTTATTAACTTGAGGGTTCGCTGCATGATAAACTTTTAATTTATTGCAATCTTCTTATGGTTCAAATTCAAAAATATTCTTTTTAGTAAAATTTGCATTATGTAATTTTCTTATGGTTTAAATTCAATCATATTTTCATGATATTTACATTATATATATATTTTGTTCTGGTATAAATACAATTTTCTTTTTAGCAATATTTACATTATGTAACCTTTTTTTCTTTTCAGGCAACAGATTTTGGAGAGGCTCTCTCTCGACATGATGAGTTTTAAATTCTACCTTTCCAAAAATAAGAATTATGAATAAATTTTCCAGTGAAAATATGAAAATATTTAAAATGTTAAGATTTTAATTAAGTGCACAAGGATTAGTTGCGTAGTTAAACATGATACTCTAATTAGTTGATGTGGTATGTTGAATGTATTTTCTTTTATTTATTTAGTAATACTTTGCTAGATTAAAAACAAATAAAATGAAACTCACATTTGTAAGATTTCTAGTTCCCGAAGAACGCACATAATACTCTCGAAAATTCTACTATTTTCTGCACGCAAATCTTTTTATTAGCCTTCTACAAATTTATAAAATAATCTATTTCTTTTTAAATTTTCTGATTAGTCCCGGAAATCTCAATTTAGATCTGTGGACGATCCAATATGATGTGGGATACTCCGTACATTTTCTCGTCTATTGATTTTTTATGAACCTTTTAAAGTTTTTTTTATTAAACCTGCTATTTCCAAGTAATATCTTTCAGCTTTTTTGATAATTAAAACACCTTTAGGAATGAAAAAGTCCATTTACTCTCCTGTCTGTGTAGCCCTGTAGTGAGTTTTGAAAAATTAAAGAATTGTTCAATGTGTGTTAGAACGACCAAATATTGCCATCTGTTTTACGATTAAGTAAATCTTATTGAAATTAAAGGTTATGCAATTTGATATTTTTCTGAATAAAAATGCTTAGTTCCAATGAATATATTTCTGAAAATGTTTTGATTTCCAAAATGCTGACAATTTATTACTTCGTAACAGCATATATACTTGTATGAAATTAATATGACTTACTTACACCATATTATATTAATTTATTCATTTGTGTGTGAAAATAAATCTTAATAAATAATAATATTAATGTATACTCGACCTAGGTTACAATGTAGATACAGGGTTACCCACAAAGGATGAGATTGTAAAGACTACCCAAAACTTAAAAAATATTATGATAGTCTGTGGGTCTGTATATGAATCAATCTCTGACGAAACCTTCTAGTCGGAATAAAAATGGTCAACAGCGATTCATAATTTAAATATGTTCCTTTATGTAGTAGCAAAGTCATTATGAAACTATTAGGGGTCTTAAGATCCAATTCCCGAATTAAACTCTTCGCAGGACAGTAAGTTGAAATGATTCAATGTGTAGAAAGAGTCGGAACATCTGGTTTATTTTACAGGTTGTTAAGGATTGATGATAATATTCTGACCTTTTAATATTGTTAAAGTACCAAACCAAATTTTGTCTGGCAAGATTTATGCTTTTTCCACTGTGACGTAACCACATCAAGCATTTTGTTGTATGATCGCTATTTACAATTACTTCTCTGAATACAATAAAAGGACCACGAAAATGTGAATTTATTAGAAGGTTTTTAAAATCTGTAATTGAACCTATTATTGTCAAGGTTATGTAAAAGTGTCATAGAACCTTGATTGTTGTTCAGATTGTACAAAAGACAGAAAAAAGTCTTGTCCTTTAGACAACATATAAAAAAATAATTATGCAAAATATCCCTGTACACTTTAACTGTGAGAATGGTCTAATGAAGTTGCATACCATATAAGGAGAAAAAATGGTTATTTGGTGCATTTTGACTGGGAGTATGATCAATCTTCTCTACTTCAAATATGAAATTTTAATAAAAATTTTGTTCTGGTCCTGGAATTTCCAAAATGTAATCTGTCTTTCTGTTCTGTCAATACTACCGGAGATCTGTATCAGAACAAATTTCTAAGCGTATCCGGTAATTTTGGTAGCTCAAAATTTAACCATTTTTGAAATGGCAGGACTAGGGGTATCTGATAATTAATAATTCAAGAATTTTACTTCATAAGTCAAGTCTACGAATGCCATCTTTTAACCGTCATATTTAGTTGCCGAGTTTGTATAAAAAAACGAAAATTGATTCGTGAATCATCAAATATTATTGTGTACAACCAAATAAGTTCCAAGATATCAGTTTCTTAGTATTAAAACTAATTTAACGATACAAAATTTTATTTAAACTTTAATGGCATACAAAATCTAACAACGTATAACAAATTTAGAATTTAACAACTACTGATGAGCCAAATCTTTTAAATAAATCAGCCACGCAGGACATAACACTTTTGATTAAGGAACATAGAACAGCAATCTTTATTTCACAAAGCTAGTCATAATATAGATAATAATCAGGAGAGGATAAAATAAAATTTAATGGAACCAAAAAGTCGGACACAACGTTAATTAAATATACTGAATACTATTAACTTAAATCCCCGCCCCCCTCCACCGTTTAAGGAGGTGCCCGATCCCTATAGACACTGATCCAGTACTTTCTTTATCTCCGCAGCAATTCAAAGTTTACAGATAGGAAAAGGATTAAGGAAAACTTGAAATAACTTGGACAGTCAATTTAAGAGGTACAGTGAACACAATGCCCATACTTCTTTCAATTAAATAAAAAACTTAATTCTGTAAAAGGCCATATTGACTAGGTCAGATAAGTTGAGTATCAGGTGTCATAAAGCTTTAAAGGGAGTGTTTGCGAAAAATGAAAGAGAGTATAGGCTTACGGCGAAAAATAAGCGCTTTTGATTGCCACTTATCTTGTACTTCTATCTTTAGCGTCTAAAAGGAGAAAATTGTTAATAACGATTCATACCGAAGAACGTAGCGTTCATACTATTTAAGAAAGTTGCAACATTCAACTCGGATCGTAACAAATCATTCAGATATTTCAACCAATAATCATGGATTATCTTTCGATGCATTCGTATAAAATTGATATTTCATAATATTTTTATTTTTTATGATCTGAGATTTATTTTTGGAAACACTTAGCCCTGTTTCGACTTTCCAGGATTTTTGATAATGAAGACGACATTCTTATATTTTCCAGGACTGTTCGAAAATCCAGCATCAGCGAAATATTTTTTAAAAAATATGTAATATTAAGTATAAACGAATGCGTCGAAAAATAATCGACGACTTTTGGTTTTAATATCTGAATGATTTGTTTGGAATTAAATTGATTATTTTACAATCCGAGTTGAATGTTACAACTTTTTGAATTTGTATGGACGCCTTGTTCTTCGGTATGAGTCGTTTTATTAACCATTTTCTCCTTATAGACGCAACAAACAGTTATAGCGATCAAAAGCACTTATTTTTCGCCGTAAGTCTATACCCCCTTTCATTTTTCGCAAACACTCCCTTTAAACAGTTAAAACAGAGAACAAACTATACAAGTACAAGATTTTTGATTTACCTTGTTTCGTTTACATATCACACATATTTCATGATTTTATAGGTTTACAGATCGAAATATATAAAATACATGTTTTTTTCAAGAACTCCATTTCTGTTTGGAGAAATTATAATATTAAAACTAGAGTCAGCACTATATGTCGTAACCGACTAAGGTTATATACTACTAATTATAATATTAAAACTAGAGTCAGCACTATATGTCGTAACTGACTAAGGTTATATACTACTAATTATAATATTAAAACAAAAGTTGAGCCACGTTGAGTATAATGGACAGTACATATTGTACATTGACTGCAATGAAGGGAGGAAGGCCAGCCACAACAACTTCTAGTCCGATCCAAAATCTCCTCATTTTCTCGTCTGAGCCATCCTCCAAATCTTCGTTCTTCCATCATGTTTTTTAAATGTGTCGAGATGATAAAACTATTTTATTTAAATCTGGCCACGTTATGGCATAAATATTGAGGATTTCGAGGTAGCTCGAGCGAAATGGTTGGGCTTCCTTCCCTCCTGAAATATCGTGAGTAAACATGTTTAATAATTGTTTAAATATTCCTAAAGCTGTTGTTGAGGTCGTAAGAGTTGATTTCAATCTGGTTTTTTTCTTCTTCACAATATTTAACCATTCTAGGGTAAAGGCCAGGGAAGATTTCCGAAATCAAAAGGCCCGCCCAAACCAGCTTCAGCCTGATACAAATTAAATATTAGTTACAATTTTCTGAACCTTAATTTGTAAATTTACCCAATTTTAAAAGGTCAAGATAATTTTTTGGGGTTTTGTCTCGTTTATTGTACACCTAATAAGAAAATGACACTTAACACGCACAAAATTACCACAAAAAAAGTATCTTATCTTTTAAATCTGCCATAGACAGTATCTTACTTCATAACATTTGCCATGATCTGGAAAATTTCTCAGAGTAAGGAACATGGACCCCCTCCCCTCCTGGGTTGGAAAGGTTGATTTTATTACAATAAAAAATTAACACGAAACCTCGCCTTCATTGAATAAAGAACCAATATTTCAAATATCTCTTATGGCCTTAGCACTTGACTCTTTCTAGTCGCAGTGCACAACCCCCTATCCCTTCCTGGCCGCAGCACTGTATGGAGGGTAAAATAAATAGATAAAATGGCCATGTGACCGAAATGTTCCTATTTGGGTTCTAGGGGGGCCTCCAGTACCCCTATAAAAGAATTGAGCCAAAAGCTTCTATAAATATTACATAATATCATGAAATCTGCCACAAATGGTATCTTATTTCATTAAATCTGCCACAATTATTATCATAGTTCATAAATTCATTATTTTTTCCTCGAATTATATCTATAAAATCGTCTACAAATAAAGCAAACAGAATTTAAGTCCATAGACTCTGCCATTTGCATCTCAGTCCATAAAATCTGCCACAATTAGCATACTGTTCCGTAAAATCTGCCATCATATACATCTCAGTCCATAAAATCTACCACAATTAACATACTGTTCCGTAAAATCTGCCATACTATACATCTCAGTCCATAAAATCTACCACAATTAACATAATGGTTCGTAAAATCTGCCATAATATGCATCTCAGTCCATAAAATCTACCACAATTAGCATAATGGTCCGTAAGACTAAATTCTTGTTATGTTATTCCATAAAATATATCTGGATTATAAATGTCTAGATAAATCCCTGCGAACACTAAGCACGAAGCATCAATTTTTGTCTATTTATCCCTGTCAGGAAAAGGTCTAATCTACCTACCTCAAGTAAACTCATTAGAACAGCAGTGGCCGCCTCATCATTCCCCCCCTCACTTGAGTGGGAGGAGGCGGGGGGAGAACTCTTAACACCTCGAGCAGATTCACTTTTTATCTAGTAACAAAAAATTGCGATAAAATGATAAATATAATTAACAGAACCGTGTTATTTCCTTGGGTTATGTAAGCGAATCTCGTGTAATTGATAATTTTTTAGATTTAACAATCAAACCAAATTACATTAACGGGGGGGGGCCACAAAACAACGTATTACTCTCCTGATTTAAACAGTGTTTAAACATAACTTAGAATTGTCGTAGAAGGCTGATTTTTTGCATGCCAACCCAGAATTATGTATAGTACATGCATTTTTGATTTTGTAGGAATCTGAGCAAAAGTGCGCGCGCGCGCGTTTTTTGTGAAAAAAATGCAACTTTTTTGACAATAATCAATGTTAACTTCATTAATTGCACTTAAACATTTTTCCTGACATTCTTGAAACAAATATGCGCTAAAAAAATTGACGTACAAAGGCTTAAATGTCTTATTCTTATTTTTTAGACTCAGGATCTTTTTCCACTCCATCACTACTCCTTGTATTTTTTCCGGGATGCTTCTGGTTTCCACGGAAATCAGGATTTAAAGTCCTGATTTTTAAATTATCGGAAATATTTCTTGAATTGGAGAAGAAAAATAATTTATCGAGACTCTGTACTGCTGGATTTTCTTTTATACTATTTCAGCTAAAATCTAAGTTTAAAAGGATACAAAGAAGTTATTTACCTGATCATCAAATTGTCTAGTAGCTCCAGCAGGCCATGAGCTTAAACTTGAACTACCAGTCCTGTTCAAAAAAATTATTATTTACAGCTACTTTACATGGAAGTTATATCTGGGGGGTAATGATTCCTCAAGAAAATATATACCCCGGTCCAAATCCACAACACACCGCTAGTGTTCACTCATGTATCCCAATATAATTTGAAACCCATTATTAGAGATAACGATGAGACAAATTTTTAAAAGGTATTTATGAGTCAAACATTAGGTCTACATATAACATTTTAAGCTCCTTTAAGCAATAAAAATACTGTACAGTGTACAACATGCCTACCTGGAAACAATAACTCCAGCGCCCTTACTTGAATCGTCGTTATTCAGTTCCACATGCTCCTTCATGTACTCCTTCTCTTGTTCATCTTTTTTCTCCTGGTCGAGCTTGAGCTCCTTTTTCCTCAGATCTTCCTTTACCCTTTGAATATCTTCCTCTGCTTTAAGCTTCAATTCTCTTTGTTGATCTTGTTCCTGATCTCTCTGCTGTTTTCTATCTCTAAGTTGTTCCTGTTCCCTCAAGTGATTTTGTTCCCTTTGCTGACTCTGCTCTCGTTGACGTTCTTCTCTATGATAATCTTTGTTCCTTTGTTGTTCCTGTTCCTGTTCCAGATCCCAAGGATGATTTGGCTCCTTATCTTCAGTTCGGGGATCAGCCTTAAAAAAAAATAACTAAGTAAAAGATTTCAGCTCATACCCAATACATTAAACTTTTTTAATTTAATTCAACATGGGGAGAGGAAGAGGAAGGGGGATTGTAAAGAGGGTTAATATTCTCTTATCTCCATCCCCCACCTGACTAGAAGGATGATCCTGATGCCCGGAGTTACTAGTAGTTGGCAGTAAAGAATTCGAACTCAGCTCCTTTAACAGGTTGAAAAACATAAATTAAGAATCTCTTAATGATGATTTATCTGAAGAATTCTAATTATACCTGAAAGTTGGACAAGGGACTATTACTGGCTGAACTATCCGACCGCCATTTATCCATGATCTCCTCGGCAATATTACGTCCAATTTTAGCTGCCTCGGCGTGGGAAGTGATCACCCTCTGAATATCCTTCCCAACCACCCGTCCACAAGCCGCCGCGTTGGATCTGTCAGCGGTGAAGAAGTCCATGTCCCCAGAGTCGCCGAAGCTTCCTCCATCTGCTAGTTTCTCTTGGGTGAAGATAAGATAGTTTCTACAGATAATATATTCTAGTTCTTGATTCCAGGGATTTCGGAACTGCTTCCAGCGTGACTCCAGCTTTACAAATTTTCCTTCCTTAGTTCTAAATCAATCTTTCGTTACATTGAATCAAATTAAGCTATTGTGTAAAATAAAACTACAACTTTAGATGTATGCATATGGATATATATACATATATGTTATTGAAACATTTGGCATTATTTAGCTTAGCCTCCAAGGTCGTTACTGGAAGGCGAAAACAACCCTGTAACAAATATCCCCCTATTTATTTCATATTTTCCCACTTGGATAATATTTTCAGATTTTCTGGATTCATGGATTCATTTTTCTAAGAATCTAAATGATATTTTGCATATGGGCATCATTTGTGTTTGTTTTAAGAAAAATAAAAAAAAGATGGAAAAAAAAATATTTTTTTCCCCCTTTTTCTACATTTTTCCATGTTTTTTAAAGCTTTTTCACCAAAAAGTCTGAGTCAAATACCAGCTAGGTTCTTTACACACCTGCTTGTTAGCCAAGAATCTCATTACTAACATCAGAACAAAGTTTAAGGTTTTTCAGAAGAAAATATGAATACCTGAATCTGAAGAACGGAGTTATCACTTCTTCAGGGCTTCTGGTAAACAAAACCAAAATTAATTAAATATGTTTTACCCAAATGAAACGAACAATGTTTTTATCGTTTTACATCATGTAAGAGGTCAGGTATATTTGGTTATACGTATCATTAGATTCACTTAGATATTTCTCATACCAAGAGGTTTTTATTTTACGTATAATTACAAATATTTACGTACGCTTTTTACCAAGCTAAGCTTTTAGGTTTTTATTTTACGTATTTTTATGTATTTTTTGAGTTCTTTCCTAAAAATATTTTTCTTATTTCATACCAAGTAATTTATTACGTTTATGTTTTTATTTAATGTTTTTTACGTATTTTTTCGTTTTTTTTCTTTTCTTAAAAAATTGTATTTTTATTGAGGTTAAAATTTTTTTTGCAAACTTATAAATACATTTATTTTGTAAATTTCATACCAAGTAATTTTTCTGAGTGTAATATATTCACGAAACCTCAACTGCACAAAAATGCCTTTTAAAGTTAGAATTTAATAATATTTATGATATTAGGGAATTGGATTGTAAGAAATTTAATGCAACTATTTTGGTAAATACAGTGTTTTAAAATTTCAATTGTTTTGGAGTTACACTTTATTAGATGAATGTTGATGGAAAGCTGATGGTGTGAATTTGTGTAGAAGAATATTGGATTGGATTAAAATTAATTGATATGAATATGGAATTAAGAAATTTGTGGAATTAGTTGTATGGATATGAATGATCAATGTGCATGCATAATAATAGTCATTACCTTCATAACATTTTGGTTTTAGAACTTGAAAATACGTGTTTTTACAGCTGTAAAAATATGTATTTTCACGTATTCCAAACCTTAAAATATGTATAAATACAAATGTCAATACATATTTTTAGGCTTTCCGGTTAGTAGGGTGCATAGCATTTGCCCGTAGCTGACATTTAATTTAAAATATTTGGAGATATGCATTCGTTCATAGGAATAGGAGGTATTATAACATTTTCAATAAATACTAATTTCTAGATGACGCGTATTTTCATACAAAATCCTTAGATTAACTAAATATTAGTAAATATCCGACTTTTGATCATGGTTTCCTTAATGTACTGCGATGGCAGTCTGCTATAACCGGTATATCGTCGTACTGTACATGTTCGTACAAACTCGTTCCTACTAGTTCCTAAAATACACATTACACAAGTTATAAAAACCATAATTGTTGTCACGGAAAAAGAAACTACAGAACATTTCCCACAATTTTGCAATATTACTTCACCACAGAAAAATCTTGACAAAAAAGTTCCAATTATCAACATTAAATAATCAGAACTTGAAGGCCTAAAATAAGAATAATACAAATCCTTGTTGTTTTCGTGACAATAGTTAAATGCCTGCTGTAAAAAAAAACTTTTTACGTTTTATAGAATACGTCGTAAGAAAAATCAGATCTTAAAATCAGCGAGAAGTAAATCGGGCCGCCATTATGTTTGAGAATAGTTTTGTTTATGTTTTAAACTAAAATAGATGAAAAGATAATGATGAAAAATGATCAAAATATCGATATAATGATTAAATTGTTAAATTACAGTAACCTGTGGTAGGTAACCCAACATTAAAGTCACTCTTTGATCAACAAAAGTAAACTTGCCATCAACACCATGTCTAAACAAAAGGAAATTTTAATCCTGTAAAGTTTAATGTCTATATGGCAGGTGGTTCAATTTAAAAATATACTATTTGAGAAATAGTAAATCTCTCTTAAATGATTTAATGTCTTTCATCTAAGCTGTCCCTTTCTACTCTAATTGTTAATTTATTTTTATTAGGTTTTTTTTTACAATTTAATAAAACTTTCTAGTTTCCCAAACTGTATTGTGATAATGTTTGTTTTTAATTTGTGCAATATCTTTCTCCTAAAAAATATGGAAAAACGATCCAAAAGCAATCATTATAACACGTTAGTTTTTTGCATAGTTTTGGGATCGTTTTTGGGTAGTTTTTATATGCATATCTTATAGCAAGTCAAAATTTAGTGTATGAAAGGCAAATATTTAGAATTAAAAATTTAGAAAACATATGTCCTTCTTACACTTTGCCAAATATTGACCCTGAATGCAAGAATAGACAATGTAGACCAAGGACATGAACCAACTTTGCCAAATGTTGACCCTGAATGCAAGTATAGGCAATGTAGACCAAGGACATGAACCAATTTTGCCAAATGTTGACCCTGAATGCAAGTACAGGCAATGTAGACCAAGGATAAGAACCAACTTTGCCAAATGTTGACCCTGAATGCAAGTATAGGCAATGTAGACCCAGGACAAGAACCAACTTTGCCAAATGTTGACCCTGAATGCAAGTATAGACAATGTAGACCAAGGACAAGAACCAACTTTGCCAAATGTTGACCCTGAATGCAAGTATAGACAATGTGTAGGTTGGTGTAGCGACAAAAAAGCTAAAACTAAAGAAATGTACTTTGGAAATAATTTTTTTCATACAACGTTATTTACCTACTAAAAAATTGAACCGAGCTAGATGTCGTCTTTCCTTGGTCCATACAATCTAAACACCACAGTTAACTATTTTACCATATTTTTAGCACTATTAATGTTTGTTATTGTTTATCTACAGTTCGTATGATCCATTCCATTTTAATGTTCATCAGTTACAAATAAAAGATAAAGAATTGTTTTTTCCCCTAGAAACTATGATTTATTCAAAGACGATTAAAATTAAAAACTAATACTAAAAGTATAAAGTAACCAGAGTCTAAAACTAAAGTACGAAAACTTTTGACTTAAGTTCATGGTTAAATACCACTTCTGACTTATTTTAAACCTGAAAATTAACCGTGAGGTTAAATATTTAACCCTGCGGTTAAATATATAACTCACCGAAATCGACGAGTTAACATTTTAACACAGGGTTAAAATCTTAAAATCCCGCAATCCCTATTTGTCTATCATCACTCATCAGTCAGCGGTAAGCGGCATTCAACTGATTACGATATATTTAAAAGTAAAAACCTTGATTTGATAAATTTCACGTTTTAGATTAATCAATGTTTGCACGTAAACCCAAAATACGGTTGTAACTGGAAATATGTTTTGTTTTCAGTCACGTAAATAATTTAAACTTTAAAAAACAACTGATTGCCGATACTCACGTAATAATTCTCCGTAAATCCTTTTTCTCTGATTGGTTCAGATTTTTCCCGGGAAATTAAAATTTAAAATTGAGAAAGTTTAATATTTAAGTAGCTACTCATTATTTTACAGAACATTTAACCTCAAACTTAAAATTCGCGCATTCTTTAGTTTTAGACTCAGGACTAAGAAGATTCGACAAATTTAAATATGATGCTAACTTTTTTTTGCAAATGCAAAAATTCTACCTTCAATAGTTGATTGGAAACTAGGCTGACATCTTCCAACAGCAACAAGACAGCTCATACCTGGTTTTAATAACAATGTTTGAAGTTGTGAGGGAGAATTCACACTTTTTATTTTCCCTCCCTCCGAAGTAACAATTTAATTTGATTTCCTTTTAACTCTGTCTATTTTAGAAGAAAAACAATTTTTTTAAGGGGGGGAGTATATAATTATATATTTATATTTAACCTGCATTATCATTATTAATTTTAAAGGTAAAGTCAGTCCCAAATACTTTACAGCGTGGTGCACAAAGCATGCATCAAAAGTTTGAAATGTCTAATGTCAATTTTCTAGCAACTTACTTGTGTCCTGATCAGTTTCGAGATCAATTAAATCGTTCTCTAGACCAACCTAGGTACATAGTTCATTAAACACACACATGACAGTACAGGGTTGTATACTTTTCTGGGCTTGGCGGTGGGTGGGGAATATGAGATATATTAAGAAGTTTTAGTGGAAAAAAGGGGGAAATGAAAATGGAAGGAAAAAAATTAACAAGAAGTGAAAAGAGAAAGAAAAAAGTGAAAAGAGAAAGGAAAAAGAGAAAGGGAAAAGAGAATGGGAAAAGAAAGGGAAAAGAGAAAGGGAAAAGAGAATGGGAAAAGAGAAAGGGAAAAAAGAAAAACTGAAAAGAGGAAGGGGAAAGAGAAAGAAATTGAGAAAAGGGAAGGGAAAAAACACAATACCTTGTTAGTATTCCAGGATTTAAGATATCCAGTACATTGGATCGATAAATACTTTTTATCTGAGTTCAGAAACTTTTTCTTCTTCTCACCTAGAAAAATTTGAAATAGAAAAATTACGATAAAAAATAATCAAGTAGAGCAGCAACATAAGTCTAGAATATTAACTTAAATTAAATACTTAACAAATAAAAGGCAACTATAAAAATGTTCAGTAAAACAAGTTCAATTAGGTGAAGAAAAAACCTTAACATTACCATTATTGTTGGATATTGAAGATTCTCCATAACCGGAGCCAAGCATTGGATTCGGAGTCCTAAAATATTGATCTTGAAACCGTCCTGATACTTCTGCAGTTAGAGAGACAAAATATCTCCGAGAAGTTTTCAGAAAATAATCATGATAGGGCGGATGCAAATTTTCGTTTAAAAAATCGGCTTACTTTATCATGCTGAGAATTAAAAAAAAAAATAAAAAAAAACCGCAATTAATTATTTACAAAATTTCATAATTAAACGCAATTGACAACTTAGGCTTTAACAGAAATTTTTCATGGGGGGCGGGGATTAACCATAGACACCATATTTCCCGGGCGGGGATCAGCTCACACAGTCCTATGTTTCTGTAGGTTTGTCTCGGGGTTGAGATTACACATTAATAAGGTTTCAGAAGGATAATATTTCCTAGAGCTTAGCTCAGCATAATATTTTTCTTACGTGGGTAATCATAACAAACCACATATAGAGGGGGGGGGGGTAAATTAAAAACTGTTTACAAGGGAGTAAAGAGATAAGGGGATGGGCTGAGTCCCACCCTCCGCCCCTCCAACCTCTGTTCTATTGATGAATACAAAATTAAAGGCACTAACGTTGTTATTTAAGTAACACTCTTTCGAATCAATAATGCGCAAGATAACATCGTTTTTCTCTCTTGTTTCTGCAGAAGAAATCTGAGTCAATGTAGTAACCAAAATTAAAATTAGTTTATTGAAATAAGATTCAAACTTTGGAGGGTTTTTGATGTCGGATGTGAATCGAACAATGATATGTTCACATGAAATTACGAGGACAGTCCCTTAAGTTTGAAAAACGAGTTTGCACTCCTCTCCTGGACCAGAGGAATCAGAGATGGGTTAAAAAAAAGCTCATGAGAAAGTAACCACAGATCTTGAAAGGTGAAGTTATTGAGCTTTCAACACCATCGAGCTCAAAATCGAATCTGTTCCTTACTATACTAACAAATTTTCAGATTACTTATATTGGTATTTTGGTAGAATTTCTCATTTTTTGTTTAAGCAGAATTAGGTTAGTTTCTTCAATCCTTCACCTTGTTTGTTGTGCTGACAAACAAAGAAGGTGAAATATTTTTTAGAAGTTATAAAATGAGTTCTTTTGGTTTGATACTGATCGTTATTACAAATTTACAAGTCTTTTTTGTCTTAAATTTAGATCAATCTATAAAGAGAACCCTCATTTTTGATTCAGGTATTTAACTCAAAGGTTTAAATAAAAAAACTCTTTGGTTGAGTTGATTAACTTCATGGTTGGAATGAAAACTTCATGGTTTTAGTGATAAATAACATTATTTAAATGAAAAACTCCATGGCTTAGATGAAAAACTACATGGTTTAATGAAAAACTACATGGTTTAATGAAAAACTCCATGGTTCCATGAAAACTTCATGGTTTTAGTGAAAACTTCATGGTTTATGAAAAACTCCGTGATTTAAGGTCATATTCTATGGTTTACATGGAACCCTCCATGGGTATACGGATAAATTCCATGGTTTAGATGAAAAACTCCGTGGTTAAATGAAAAACTCAATGGTTACAGGAAAACCTCCATGGTTTTAGTTTGATAAATAACATTGTTAAGGTGAAAAACTACATGGTTTACATGAAAACCTCCATGGTTTTGGTGATAAATAACATTATTTAAATGAAAAACTCCATGGTTTAGATGAAAAACTACATGGTTAAATGAAAAACTACATGGTTAAAATGATAAACGAAAAAATTTCTGGTTTGAATGAAAATTTTCAATGGATTAAATAATAAATGCCATGGTTCAGATGATAAACTCTAAGGTTTATTTGATAACTCAGGGTTAGATTAGAAATCTCGATGGTTCAGGAGATAAATTCCAATGTTTAGCTGATATAACCCCTTTAGGTTAAGATGTTAAACTCAAAGGTTCAGGCAATGAAGTCAAATGTTTAAAATAAAAACTTTATGGTTTTGATAACTAACACCATGGTTTAAATTAACTCTAAGGTTTAGATTATAATCTACTTGGTTCATGGGTTAAACTTCCATGGTTGAGATAGTAAACTTCGATGTTTAAGTGCAAAACTTTAAGGTTGAGATAAACTTCATTATTTTAGTGCAAAACTCTAAGGTTTAGATGAAAACTTTATGTTTTAGTGCAAAACTCTAAGGTTGAGATAATAAACTCCATTGTTTAAGTGCAAAACTCTAAGGTTGAGATAATAAACTCCATGGTTTTAATGAAAATCTCCATGGTTTTAATGAAAATCTCTGTGGTTCATGGGATAAACTCAAATAAAATCCATAGTTAAGGTGAAATCAAATAAATCTTCTGGTTTCTTGGTAGGTATGTCTCGAATAAGGCGTTCTCTTCTAACATTTTTTTTTAAATTTTAATTTTAAAAAAATTTTAAAATAAAGCAATGAATTGTTTGTCTGAGTATTGTATCTTCTGAACAGCTGATAATACATTTGTGTTCTCTGAACTCGCCTTGATGTATTTATTCACTTGAACTACGGATTTTATTATCTAAACCTAAAAGCTCACCATCTAAATCATGGAGCTTTTCATCCAAACCTTGTAACTTATGACCAAAACCACCATGGAACTAAAAATAAAGTGTCATGTATATCATAATTATACGTTTTGTTTTCAGGCATTTTAAGACATAAGCAGCTCAGTAGCTTCACCTTTCAAGATCTGTGTTCCAGGAGAGGAGTATTGGGAAATTCTTAAGACAATGTTTAAATCTCAAAAATGTAGCCATTAGAATTATGGCCGCCAGGAAATCTACTTACATATCCTCCTCCTCCTCCTCCTTGAGATTTAGAGTAGAAACAGGTTTACATTTCATCCGACAGAAGAACACACGCCGAGCTCCAGGGTGAAGTCTGAAATAAAATAAAAGCTTTAATAATTAAATCGTTTAAGATTATCAGTTTAACAAATATACTTCTTTTCTTGGAAAATTATTTCCCTCCTCCCACTTAATTTTCTCACAAGAAATATTAAAAAACAAACAAATTATAATTTTTTTCCTCTAAAACCAGGAATAAGAATGAATTGTGTTTGGTAAGAAGTACCAAAATGAGGATTACAATTGGCAAAATTATTTCCAATTAATTAATTTTTTTTTCCTTTATGTCCCTAAATTAACAATTAATTAGTTTACCATAATTCCGTTCTGAAAGTTTGATGCGTCAAAATGCTATTGATTATGTTTGTATCCGTACCTACTGTTTGATGTGTCATAACTAAATGCTATTGATTATGTTTGTATCCGTACCTACTGTTTGATGCGTCATAACTAAATGCTATTGATTATGTTTGTATCCCGTACCTACTGTTTGATGTGTCATAACTAAATGCTATTGATTATGGTTGTTCCCGTACCTACTGTTTGATGTGTCATAACTAAATGCTATTGATTATGGTTGTATCCGTACCTACTGTTTGATGTGTCATAACTAAATGCTATTGATTATGGTTGTATCCGTACCTACTGTTTGACTGTGAAACATCTCCTCCTACTAAGGGTAGCATTGTCTTGCTATCAATTAATCTCTCTCTAGGTGTAGCTTCATAATTACTCATCTGCTCCTTAACCTTGTCAATGTCCTGAATAAAAAATAAAAATAAAAAATAAACCACGAAATAATATCCCCAGGAACAGAGATGAAGCAAAAGAAAACAGAGGATAAATTTTTTTGCCAAAACAGGTCAACAAATAAACAACTCACACCAATAATGCAACTTATATAGATTAACCCAGAAACCTCGAATAATCAACCGGCCCTCGTAAACAAAAAACAAAGATTTAAAATTTAGACTATAAGATAGATTTTTTGAAAATATATTTCGTTCTGGGTTGACCCTCGTCTATTCTTGAGATTGTTTCTGCCATGAAGTAATCCCAGAATAGATCAATATATCGACCAATACACCAGGAATAAATCAACCCATAAACCAAACATAATTTAATGAATACACCAGAAAGAAATCTACCAATTAACCAAGAATAAATCAGCCACTAATTAGAACAAAATATCAACCAACAGAAGAGAGCAAATAAACGAAATAAACCAAGAATAAATTAACAATCATATTAAGTCGAATTCCTATTTTCCATTTTTATCCAGGATCTAAATCAGGATCCACATCTTATAAATTGATCCTATAAGACATTAATATAATCCTCAGGATTAATTTTCAATAAAACAAAATCAAAGCAAGTATCATATCAGGAGGACATGAATCCCTCCAGAACAGTATGATTCCAGATAATAACAGGAAATGGATCCAAAAAGAGGACACGGATCCAAAGAAGATCATCATTTCACACTAAAAAACATCTCAGTAAATATTTGTTTTGTGTAAAAAAAAGGTGGGGCACAAATCGTATTACTCTCCGGGAAATTTAAACAGTGAATAAACATAACTTAGCATTGTCGTAGGACGCTGATTTGTTGTATGCGAACTTAGAATTATGTATACTACATGCATTTTTTTTGGTTTTAAACGGATCTGAGCAAAGTGTGCTTGCACTTTTTGTGAAAAAATACGACTTTTTTGACAGTAAATCAATCTTAACTTGAAATTGCACTTGAACATTTAACCATAACACTTTTGCAACAAAAATGTGCTCAAAAATTCAATAAAAGAAAATATCTTCTGTGTTAAGTTAAGAATAAAAGTAGCATGAGATACATCTAACTATAACAAAATTTGGAATTCATTTCCGAGGTCAAAATAAACATTGGAGCATTCCGACCGAAGCGCTAGTAGCCTACCATTACATTAATTTTGAGTCATCTTAGCACAGATTTTTCATTTGTATGTCGATTTATAGGTAATTGGGCACGAGGAATTTATTTCAGAGGTCAAAATAAATATTGGAGAATTCTGACCGGAGCGATAGTAGCCAACCATTACATTATGGGCCATCTTAGCACAGATTTGCTACTAGCGCACTGATCAGAATGCTCTCCAATCTTATTTTTATCTCAGAAATTAATTCCGCGTGCCAAATTACCAATAAATAGTCAAACAACTTGCAAGATCTGTGCTATGTTGACTTGTGCTACTTTTATTCTAACTAGGCCAAATTTAGCACATAGAGATTTAAATATATGTTCTTTTTTGCGCGCGCGCGGACATTTAAGGCTTTGGAGGTGAATTTTTTAGCGCATATTTGTTTTAAGAGTGTCGGGATAAATGTTCAATAAATTTTTTCACAAAAAGCGCGCGCGCTTATTTGCTCAGATTCGTTCAAAACCACAAAATGCATGCAATATACATAATTAGTTCGCATGCAAACAAATCAGCGTCCTACGAAAATGCTAAGTTATGTTTATTCATTGTTTAAATTTCCAGGAGAGTAATACGTTTCATGCCCCCACCCCCTCCCACTACAGACTTATTGCAAATAGTTAAGAACTTGAGGGCCTCAGCCTTGACAATGGTATGGATTTTAGTCTATTTTTAGTTAAATAGTATTCGGATCAGTTTAAAAATTTATAAAGGAACTGCAACAGAGCTTTAACTTTGTATACTAAAATACCGAGGGGAGGGGGGTAAAGTGTATCCATCTTGAATTATATTCCCCCTTGCTTTCAAAGTTTTCCTTCCTACAAATAAGAAATAAAAGCAGAGACTAGAGAATGATAAATATATTGATGTAGGAATCCAAAATACGAATATGGAAACAGTAAATATTAGATTGTTTTACACTCACAATACATGACAATGAAGTTAAGGAGTCCATTTTGTTCAGGAATAAATAGTATTTCGCTACAAATACTTATCTTTTCAAAAATATTTTAGAATAGTTGGTCCCGAGCTTGACAGTTTTAAAAGATATATGAAGTTAAACAGGTTTAGAAAATTAAGCATCAGAAGTGATAAAAAAATACATTCAAGAAGGTCTGCAGAATATTATTAATGTACAATGTACATGGATGCAGTTTTCTTAATTCGAAAATGTTTCGGGTAATATATATGTGTTTCTACAATTTGGACTCTCATAAACCAATCTATCTAAAATGATAACATTTAAAAATATTTTACAATTCTAGAATTTTTTGAAATCAGTGAGGGCAGACAACCTTAACAGATGAATTGCTAGAAGAATGTCATTACAGTAAATTTTAAAGCTGCCNTACCCTAGGATGAAGAATATCGAAAAGACTCTGTCCCGTGAGCTCCTGGCTAGTGAAGTTCAGAATACTACTCACAGACTCAGATACATACAGAATACGGGTCCGCACTAAATATAATTCAAATATATGTATAACTTGGATTGAGGAACTGTTAGCTTAGTTTAACATTTTATTTGAGTGGGTTGACTTTAATGGGGAAAGTTTACTTTCTAGGCCTAGCCGCATGTTAATATAAAGGAAAAAAAGTTAAACGATGCAAAAAAAGTGCAAAAAAAAAATCTGAAGAAAAAATAAAGAAACCTGAGTCAACAACGAAGACGAATCCATCAGCGCTCGGAATTATCAATTTGTTGAGTTCACTGTACAAAACAAAAAATGGTTGAGATTACGAGATTGTATGTCTTATACAGTAAAACCCTTACTAACGAATACATCGGAAGAATTCATCAAATGTCGTCTTGACAATTTTTCAATGAGTTTTATACTATATTACGTAAATTTCAGTATTTGCGAAAATAAATAAATATCCATGAATATGCGGGAACAGTTTTAAAGAGTTCCATATAATCATTTAATTAAAAAACCAAATATCTGCAACATTCCATTATCAGAAAGTGAAGAATACGACATTTGATGAATTCTTTCGATGTATTCGTTATTAAGGGTTTCACTGTATTACGAAAATGCCAATCTTTACTTAGCATTATTTGTATTAATATAAATATTACATTTTTGTACGAATTTCTCAAATTTTTTAGTTCTATCCAAGGTAAGGTAAGGTCATAAGAGAATATTTGTTATTAGAATACACCAAATTCCTTAATATACAATGAAGTCATTTTCAGTGGCTGTACAATTGTATATTGGTTGTTTGTAAACAAACGCAACCGAAACTGGACTTGAACTGATTTACATAAAATTGAACCCAGTATTTTAAGATTGGGAATAAACGGACAAACATACAGACAAAAAAGGGAAATATAGTGAATAGATCTGCTTTAAACGGAATAGAGCTCACCCACCCCCACCCCCCCTTCAACTGTCCTCTTTGCCTGGCCTATATAACTGTGTGATATTGTGTCAACAGTAGCCTAACAAGATTGTTTGTAAACAGACTGCCAAACCAGTTTTTAGCCACCGAACCCGTATTCTAGAATTAAATTCTCTTTGGCCTACTACCGTTGGTTCTATCTAAACCATAATAAAAAAGAAATCGTCAATCAACAAGATAAAAAATAATTAAGAACTGTTGAAGACTATAAATATAAATAATCCTTAAAATATTATCTTATATGGATTCCTTCTTAAATACAAAAATAAACAATGTTTTCTCGGAAGAAAAATATAAAGATTTGTATGATTTACTAAAAATATGAGTCGTATGATTATCTATGGAAGAAGTGTCAATTTCCTGTTTTTTTATATTTTTTTTAACAACTGTCAAAGTTTTCAGTTGTTAAAAAAAATACGATCTTTTTCTTAGCTAGACTTAAACAAATAGATTCTAGTACAATAAATGGAAACGTAGAATTTGTACACTCTCAGTACAGCTGTCTTCGGACATCATAAGTGTCAACTTAGTTTTTGTGTCCGAAAAAAATTATTAATAAATTTGATAATTTTAGAATATAGTGCTTATATTACAGTAAAATAAGTGCAATTTTATAGGTTCTTTATTTTCTGTTTTTAAACTTTTTTATTTAATCTTGGAAAACATGTCAACTAATGTGAGAAAATTTCGTTTTCCATGTTATGTTTGACACTTGTGACGTCGTGTATAATTGGTTCATTTCTCTGTTGCCACCTAATTTACGTGCTAATCTATTTGGACTTAATAATCAATATCTATTAAACCTCATTTTTGATTCATAAAATCAATATGTTTTGCCTTTATGAAACCCGGTTTTAAGAAGCAGATTAAAAGTTACATTACCCATTTTCAAAATTGATAATTATTCATGATTCAAACACAGGGGCGTTTACAGGATTTTAGTGAGAGGGTGCTAGATTTATTTCGGAACAAAAAAATCCAGAATTAGAAACCAAAAGACACGTTGCAGGTGAATTTTTTTTTAATTTAGATATTTCTTTCTGTTTTGCACTAGGTTTTTTCTCCGTAGGAACTAATGAGAACCTATTCTGAAATCTAAGGGGTGTGCAAAGGTTTTGCCCCCCCCCCCTGTATCCGCCCCTGATAGAACAACTTTTTTAACAACATAACGTAAAATTGCAGATTCTTAAATGAGTCTAAAATCTTGATTTCCAAAAACATTTGCAGATATTAGATATTATTACACAGGATTTACTAAATTTCAAAAACCATGCCATTTCCCCAGAACTTCAAATTCAGTTAAACTAAAAATTTGATCCTGTTAAAAAAAGAATTTAAGCTTAAAGAATTAAATATGTCAAGTATAAATAAACATGTACGACTCTGTACGTATTTCTTGTGTAATGTTCATGTACTTAAAGCTACCTGTCAGTGAGTAGAGGAGGTTTATGACAAGCTTCAGTGTAGGAATCCAGGGAACCACGGATACTCTTTAGGTGCTGAACTATATACACAGATAGATAGGTAAATTGATAAGACGAAGTTTATTCTCCTACTAGACTGAAGACAGTAAGAATAAGAAGTTTTTTTACCAACTAATTTAAGACAATCAGTTTATTACGTTTATTTAACCACTAATCTAAGAACAATCAGTTTAAGAAGTTTATTTTAATTTACCCGCTAGTCTAAGAAGAGTCAGTTTATTAAGTTTATTTACCAGCTAGTCTGAGGACAGTCAGTTTATTCAGTTTATTTACCGCTAGTCTAAGGACGGTCAGTTTATAAAGTTTATTTAAGCGCTAGTCTGAGAACAGCCAGTTTATTAAGTTTATTTTAATTTACCCGCTAGTCTAAGAAGAGTCAGTTTATTAAATTTATTTACCAGCTAGTAAGAGGACAGTCAGTTTATTCAGTTTATTTACTCGCTAGTCTAAGGACGGTCAGTTTAAAAAGTTTATTTAAGCGCTAGTCTGAGAACAGCCAGTTTATTAAGTTTATTTTAATTTACCCGCTAGTCTAAGAAGAGTCAGTTTATTAAATTTATTTACCAGCTAGTAAGAGGACAGTCAGTTTATTCAGTTTATTTACTCGCTAGTCTAGGGACGGTCAGATTAAGAAGTTAATTTACCCGCTAGTCTGAAAACAGTCAGTTTATTAAGTTTATTTACCAGCTAGCCTAAGAACCTGTCAGTAAGTTTATTTACCCACTAGTATGAGAACCTATCAGTTTATTCAGTTTATTTACCCCGCTAGTCTAAGAACGGTCAGTTTAAGAAGTTTATTTACCCCCTATTCTGAGAACAGTCAGTTTATTAAGTTTATTTACCCGCTAGTCTAAATACAGTTAGTTTAGTAAGCTTATTTACCAGCTAGTCTAAGAATAATCAGCATATTAGGTTTATTTACCCGCTAGTCTAAGAACAGTCAGTTTAAGAAGTTTATTTACCCTAGTCTAAGGAAGTCAGTTTAAGAAGTTTATTTAGCCGATAGTCTGAGAACAGTCAGTTTCTTAAGTTTATTTACCAGCTAGTCTGAGAACCTGTCAGTTTAAGAAGTTTATTTATCCGCTAGTCTGAGGATGGTCAGTTTAATACGTTTATTTACCCGCTAGTCTAGGGAAGGTAAGTTTTATACGTGTATTTACCCGCTAGTCTGAGGACGGTCAGTTTAATACGTTTATTTACCCCCTAGTCTAGGGAAGGTTTAAGTTTAATACGTGTATTTACCCGCTAGTCTGAGGACTGTCAGTTTATCCATTTTTCTCTGCATCGCAGCACAGGTTGGAATCATAGATGAGAGCTCAGAGATATATGTATTCATTTTATCCCTATACAGTATACAAACAGGTTTTCAAATAATCTTGACATTTTATCCCTGTACAGTATACAAACAGGTTTTCAAATAATCTTGACATTTTATCCCTGTACAGTGTACAGTATACATACAGGTTTTCAAATAATCTTGACATTTTATCCCTGTACAGTATACAAACAGGTTTTCAAATAATCTTGACATTTTATCCCTGTACAGTATACATCCAGGTTTTCAAATAATCTCGACATTTTATCCCTGTACAGTGTACATACAGGTTTTCAAATAATCTTGACATTTTATCCCTGTACAGTATACAAACAGGTTTTGAAATAATCTTGACATTTTATCCCTGTACAGTATACATGACAGGTTTTCAAATAATCCTGACATTTTATCCCTGTACAGTATACATACAGGTTTTCAAATAATCCTGACATTTTATATGACAGGTTTTCAATTAATCTTGACATTTTATCCCTGTACAGTAAACAAACAGGTTTTCAAATAATCTTGACATTTTATCCCTGTACAGTGTACAGTATACATACAGGTTTTCAAATAATCTTGACATTTTATCCCTGTACAGTATACAAACAGGTTTTCAAATAATCTTGACACTTGTCTCATTAAATAATTTTAAATTGTGCAAAATCACAAATTATATCAATATCTAACCTTCGTCTTTTCTCTATTTCACTGTGATTTTGTCGAACAAACCTTTTAGGCTCTTCCTAGAAATAGAAACTTTGAAAGTTTTGAAACATGAGAATGATGTCAAACTTTATTCAGGTAAAACTTATAACTCTTCTGCCTCCGTAATGGCTTACCTTCACGATATGAAATAAATACCTATGCCTGTCATTTTCCCCATAGAACCACCCGGGAAAAAGATTAAAGTTCTATAATCTCGGAATTATTTGCGGCATTCTACATCAAGAATATCTGAAAATGCGCGTAAAAAAGGGAACATTTTTAAGGACATAGAATTCGAAAACTTTAATTCAACTGACACTTTTTTTTATTTACTAAAATTCAATATTTCATGTATGCCCTAACGTGGCCCGATTCTTTAATAGTTTTATCTTGGAGGGCTAAACACTTTTTAAAAATAATATTGGAAGGACGAGGATTTAGAGGTGGCTCGGACGAGAAAATGATGAGAATGTGGCTCGTACTAGAAATGGTTGTGGCTGGCCTTCCTCCCCTCGGTATTTATAGTATCCATGTGTGGGAAGTTCAAATCGATGTGCAAAATTAATTTAAGTGGAGATCTGATAAATCTAAAGCAATTGAGGCTGATTCTTTAACAGTGATTGAAGCAAAGACCTAATAAACTTAAAGTATCTGAGGCAGATACCTAATACGGAACCTAAGGCGGATAAATAATTGAACTATAACTACCTGGGGCGCATGTCTGATTTTCCTTCCTTCCTCATCACAACCATCCATACTTGAACCAAGTTTTCTAAAATACAAGTCCAAAAGAAAAGGATATTGGAAAAATGATTTTTTTAGATCTATACACAAGTAATATTGCGTAAAATTGTGTTGATTTAAGATGAAAAATGTAGTATAACCAGAAACTCGGGATGTCAATATTTCTTTTAAATTAATTAAATTTATATATAAAATAATATAATTAATTTTGCCGAGAGTTTTCATTTCAGATACACATTTATTTTTGAAAAGTACATAATTGTGGGCTAGTATAAGGTTTTGACCGATGTACTTCCAAGAATGTGAGATAAAATCTGTTTTAGTTGCAACGAATATCAATTGTTGCTGCGTAAAAGAAGCTCACATGAATCCGGGTACGTACTGTAACATCTCAAAGGGATTCAGGCTTTGGAAATATAAAATAAACCCTGCCCCAACATAGAATATGTTTTAACTGCTCTAACAGCTACTAACGGCTATTTACGGCTACGAAATTCTTAAATAATCCATTAATTGTAACAAGTATATTTATTTTGTGAAAAATCAACCTTTTAGCGAAAAAAAAGAAATTTCAAAATAAAATAGAACTTCTGAATGGGAGATCCTAAGCTACAATCAGGGCTGGGGAGGGGGGTGTAGCGTTACATCCAGACCGGGGTAATATTTGGTCCGGGTGCAATACAAAGACGGCATTAGTAAACAAACACATTTAAAATTTTAGTCTGCAAAAGAGTGGAAAACATGCCTAAATAATGTACATAATGTGTGTGTTTCTAATGTCTAATTGCATGGCCTACCAAACAAAAAATTGTAACAATTTCAATAACAATGATAATGTGCATCCTTTGGGTCCGTCAAAGTTAACAATTTTTAACCCCCTCTCCCCCCCCCATTCTATCAATTTTGCACATAACCAGCGGTAATTTCCTAATAAACGATTTTTTGACCCCCCCCCCCTTCCCCCTCCTATCAATTTTGTACATGAATTTCACATGTATAACAAGGATTATAGAAAAAGGAAGAACAAGGATTATAGAAAAAGGAGGAACAAGTGTTACAGAAAAAGGAGGAAAAAGGAGGAACAAGGATTATAGAAAAAGGAGGAACAAGGGTTATAGAAAAAGGAGGAAAAAGGAGGAACAAGGATTATAGAATAGAAAAAGGAAGAACAAGGATTATAGAAAAAGGAGGAACAAGTGTTACAGAAAAAGGAGGAAAAAGGAGGAACAAGGATTATAGAAAAAGGAGGAACAAGGGTTATAGAAAAAGGAGGAAAAAGGAGGAACAAGGATTATAGAAAAGGGAGAGACAAGGATAAAAGAAAGTGGGGCAATGATAATAGTAGAAGGATGGACAAAAATAATAAAAGGAAAGACAAGGATAATAATAGAAGGAGGAGAGACAAGGATAATAGAAGAAGAAAAAGGGACAACGATAATAGAATGAGGAGGGATAAGGAATAAAGAAGGTGGAGGGACAAGGGTAATAGAAGAAGAAAAAGGTACAACGATAAAAGAATGAGGAGTGATAATGATAATAGAATGAGGAGGGATAAGGAATAAAGAAGGTGGAGGGACAAGGATAATAAAAGAAGAAATAGGGAACAGAATAATAGAAGGAGGGACAAGGAAAATAGAAGAATAAAAGGGACAAGGATTATAGAAGAATAAAGATTTTCAATGATAATAGAAGAAAGAGGGACAATGATAAGAACAAAGAGGGACAAAGATAATAGAAAAAGGAGTGACAAGGATAATCGAAAAGGAAGGGACAAGGATAATGGAGGGAGGGACAAGGATAATAATAGAAGAAGGAGAGACAAGGATAATAATAGAAGAAGAGAAACAAGGATAATAGAAGGAGAGAAAAGGATAGCAGAAGAAAGAGGGACAGGGATAACAGAAGAATGAGGGATAAGGATTATAGAGGAAAGAGGGATAATGATAATAGAAGAAGAATGAGGGATAAGGATAATAGAAGAAGAATGAGGGATAAGGATAATAGAAGAAGAATAAGGGATGAGAATAATAGAAGAAAGAGGGATAATGATAATAGAAGAAAAAGGGATAAGGATAATAGAAGAAAGAGGGATAAGGATAATAGAAGAACGAGGGTAAGGATAATAGAAGAAAGAAGGACAAGGATAATAGAAGAAAGAGGGATAAGGAACATGGAAGAAAGAGGGATAAGGAACATAGAAGAAAGAGGGACAATGATAAAAGAAGAAAGAGGGACAAGGATAATGGAAGAAAGATGATAATAGAAGAATTTACCAAAAGATCCATTATATCCAACGCTGTTTTCCCATCGTCTGCACATTCAGGATATAGATACCTAAATCGATCAATCAATGCAGTAAAAAAAAGCAATCAATTCTATTCGACTCAAATTAATTCCAACCACCTAAAGTGGAAATAATTTTAAAGAAAAATAAATATTTTAAAATAAGGGGGGGAGGAAGAAAAATTATTTTTAAAAAAGAGGGGGGAAGAAAAAAAATTATTTTTCGAGAAAATGTACACCCCCTGCTTTTGTTTTTAAGGTATAGTGTGAGGAGAACGCGGGAGGTAGAGTGGGTTGAACTTTCTTGCAATACGCCTTCAGTAAAGATGAAAACTAAACACTGAAAGGTTTTTTTAAAATATTTTCACTCTGGGGTAAGGTTCCGAGAAAATAAAAAATCCTCAAATTTTAAATGATCAAAATTCTGTAGAGATGCAAATTCGCATAACCCCAGCGCCTGAATAGATATCATCTTACCCCGTAGGTGCTCCAGCTAGATAGGTCACTGGAGGTGAATAAAATTCCTCCTTAGGTGCAGAAACCTCCTAGATGAACAATATTTATAAGGTGCAGAAACCTCCTAGATTAACAATATTTATAAGGTGCAGAAACCTCCTAGATTAACAATATTTATAAGGGCGTAGAAAATTCCTAGATTAACAATATTAATTAGTAGCAGAAACCTCCTAGATGAACAATATTCAGGTGCAGAAACCTCCTAGATTAACAATATTTATAGAGTGCAGAAACCTCCTAGATTAACAATATTTATAAGGTGCAGAAACCTCCTAGATTAACAATATTAATTAGGTGCAGAAACCTCCTAGATTAACAATATTAATTAGGTGCAGAAACCTCCTAGATTAACAATATCAAGGTGTAGAAACCTCCTAGATTAACAATATTTTTAAGGTGCAGAAACCTCCTAGATTAACAATATTAATTAGGTGTAGAAACCTCCTAAATTAGTAATATTAATTAGGAACAGAAGCATCCTAAATTTACAATATTAATTAGGTGCAGAAACCTCCTAGATTAGCAATATATCAGGTGCATAAACCTCCTAGATTAACAATATTAATTAGGTGCAGCAACCTTCTAGATTAACAATATTAACAAGGTGCAGAAACCTTCTAGATTAACAATATCAATTAGGTGCAGAAACCTCCTAAATTAACAATATATCATGGTGCAGAAACCTCCTAGATTAACAATATTAATAGGGTGCAGAAACCTCCTAGATTAACAATATTAATTTGCTGCAGAAACCTCCTACATTAACAATATAAATCAGGTGCAGAAACCTTCTAGATTAACAATATTAATTAGGTGCAGAAACCTCCTACATTAACAATATAAATCAGGTGCAGAAACCTTCTGATTGACAATATAAATCAGGTAAAGAAACCTCCTAGATAAGCGAGGGGGGGGGGGACAAATAACACATGCCTCCCCTAATCCACAGAAGGGAGGCACAGGACAACTAATCAGAGACAAAAAAAAGGAGAAGGAAAAAAAGAAAAACAGGAAAAGAAAAGTGCGAAAGATTGGGGAAAAAACGGGAAAAGAGAAAAGAAATCTTTTTTTATCAATCGTTAAAGGTCTTTTTTCTTCATATTAAAAAGTTCTGTAAAAATGTCAGGTTTAAAATCATTCCTAACATTTGAGAACAGAGAAACTTATCTTTTCCCTTCTTTTAATAAATAAATGATTTAAATCAACTATCTTAGAGCTAAAAGTACCAATACGGAGAAAATTTGAAATTAATGATATAATTTCTTTGCATTATTTACTCCAGCTTGCAGGTGTATTTTTCTCAAATTTTATTTTTATTTTTACAGGCATTTACGTCGATTTTGATTTTGATAAAATATAGTGTGTAAAAAGTTATATCAATGTTTTAGTGTTGATTGGTATATTTGCTGAGATTTTAAGGTAAAAAAAGAAACAACAGAAAACAAAAAACATGGTCATCAATTGACAATATTAACAAATTTGGAGAATACGAACCGGTTACGGAAGATTAAGGTATTGTTTAAGTGAATGTGATTCTGACTTATATTTAGGTAATTTCCTAGAGAACGATTATTGATCCCCCTCCCCCCTCCTATCAATTTTGTACATTTTGTATAATTGATCATGTGGCCGCAGCGCCCGGCCCCCTAGCCTGTACTAGCCTCGGCGCTCGGCCCCCTATGCCTGTACTAGCCATAGCGCTCGGCCCGGAAATTGTCTTAACTTAACCTTACCCTAAAATAATAAAAAATAAATAATAATAATTTTGCTAAAAAATAAGTGGTCGTGTACAAAATTGATATGAGGGGGGGGGGGTCCAAAGATTATATACTAGGACGGACCCTATACTTATTTTTATGAACAAAAAATTTAGAAAAATAAAGTTTCAGGATTTTTGGAACAAACCTGATTCATTTCTCTCAGATAAATAGTTTCTTTTATTTTTTCGGCATGCTGAAGGCATATGACTAACTAAACGTAAGCAGATGCGCTAAATTATACAATGTTTGTGTGGGAAAAAAACATTCTGTTATATTTTGTTATATATGGTTTGATTGAATTAATTGATAGCTGCAGTGATGTAATTGCAAGACAAAACTAAGCCGGATCAAAAACACAAATTCTATCGAACTAAAATTCTTTTTAAGGTTATAATACTGACAATCAGGTCATCAACATTTATTTGTGGCGAAAGGATACATATATCCTTTGCAGGGACAATTTAAATGTTAAGTAAAAAATTTAGTTGATTTAAATGAATTGTTAACAAAAATAAGTTTTACAGCTGTGCGATATTAAAAATCGATTCATGAAGAATTGATAAGCGTATAGATATTCTGAAATTTCAATTTAACCATTTGGAGTAAAACATGTTTTAAATGTGTGATCACGATTTCAACTCATAATGTTAGAGGTTGTTTACGCTTGTATGGTTTTGAGTTAACTAAACTAATTCAAGAAAGAAGCTAGTAGCATACCGAAATATATCGCTGTTGAATCCTTCAGTAAGCCTTCACAAAATACTCGGTGAGTCTGTCTACTTTTCTCTTACATAATAATTTCAGCCAATGGGAGAACAGGATACGTTTTAATTCCAACCAATCAGATGATAGAGAGCAAGCCACTTAAATACCTTTCAGGGATGTACCAACAACTTTTAATTCGATGTCCCAAAAATTTCCCGAAATTCAAACAATTACAAAAAGATTCAACAATTAAATTTTATGGAAAGATTAATCATGAACATATATCTAGTAAGGAGTCCCAATTCCGTATCAAGGAAAATAACGTACACATATTCTAGGTTTAAACAAATTATAAAATTAAAAGCATAACTGCAGTATGCACATTGCACACACACACCCCCCCCCGGCACCGGTTCGTAATAGAGCCGTATGGGGGTGGGGGCTGGTGCTAAAGGCGCTTGTAGCCCCCCCCCATTGCATGATCTCCATGATCTGCAGCGAAATCTATAATTTCCAGGGTTTTTTTGCCCCAACAGGTGCTGTAAATGTAAATATAGCGGAAACCGACCCAAAATATTCGGAAATCCCTCTACACTTTTTAGTTTTTGAGGGATTTCCGATAATTCTTGAAAAAAGAAGGAAACGGACCCAAACTCACTTTTGGGTCCGTTTCCGTGTTGAGGCGTTTCCGTGTTGAGGCGTTTCCATAGCACCATTCGGTCATATACAAACTTAAGTGTTAATAAATTATTTATGTAATTTTCTCAAGTGGACTCATCAGACACTTCCTCAATTAATGGTATTTATACTTTAAGCTTTAATTGATGGGTGAAAAATAGAGATGGAAACGTTTCTTTAAAAATATCTATATTTTCATAGAAACGATAATATTGTATAATTATTAATGATATCAAATTTGATATATTTACAAGGGCAAAAGTGAGCTTTTAAAGTACTTTTTATATGGGTGACCCCCCTCAGGGGAGACACGCGTAGGGGGGGGGGAACGGGGGCCCCTTTCGTACGCGCCTGAGGGGGGGGGGCAAGGGGGCAGTGCCCCCCATACCTGTAGGGGCCCTAAACCTCAGAGTTACAACACTTTTCAAATCTGAAACTGAAGAGGGAAGAGCATAAAAAAACAGTGTGCTGTTTTTTCTGCTAGTTTTGTTTAAAGGAGAGATAAAGTAGTAACTATAGTATTTTTAATGTTATTGGACTGCATATAATTTTACCTTAAAGTATCCAAAAAGCCAAATGTTTTTAAATGACAGTTCAAATTTTGCCCACCGGCCCTAGGAACTCATAGGGGGAGCAAAAAAAGATTTATTTCTGTGTACGCCCTTGCAAATATCTGTTCTTAAATTTAGAATCCCCCCATCGATCCTCAGGAAATTATTCATAAATTATGATATGAAATAAAAGCATCGTCAAGGAATTAAAGATACAATTACGAAAATGGTATTGAATAAATGACCTGCGAGACCTGCAAATCAAAATACCATGGTCCAATTTGTTAAAATGATTTTTCATTCTTTTTGGAATTATTTTTCTTTCTGATCATTTAAAAAAACCTCAATTATAAATGGTCTTAAAAATAAAAATATTTTAATTAAGAGTCTGATGCAATTGTTATTATTGTGCTTGGGAAAAAAGGTAAATCCTTAATTGAAATATGTCATACATGGTGATAACCAGAAAACATACATGGTGATAACCGGAAAACAATGGAATACAAAGATGTAGCAATACTCAAGCGTTTTGTTACAAACTTAGTCATCAATTGGCCTATTTCCGAGTTTTCTAGTTATCACTGTAAAAATTCATTAAAACACGTAATAACAAGGAAATTTATTAAATTATTAGTAAGCGCTCAAAAAAGAATAGATACATCATCAACATTATTACCTTTGATTTGATATGTAAAAATGTTACTATTAATTATGATTTATATTAAACTTTAATAAGTTTATAGTATCATAGTTCTGGAAGGTCTCAAAATTGAATATAATTCCAGTAAATCAATCAGGGAATAGGAATAAATCAATTTATTCTGTGGCAAATATTTGATTCGTTCATGCTTTCTCCAACTACAGGGTGTCCCAAAAAACATGGGAATTCAGTGACGAATTGGATATCGTCTTTGTTATGAATTAGCATTGTAATACCTAATTTCAAAAGCCATAATATTATTATGTCTGCTAGAGTTTATTTTATGAAAAGGGTAAAAGACTGTGAAGATGTGTCTATAATGTCTCCGTAAAATGAACAGTGAAGACGGACAAATTTACTCTGTTTGTATACTGCAATTTTCTTGTTTTACTAAGTACCGTATGCAGTCAAAATATAGACAAACAAAATGTAAACATAGCAGACGAAACTCTTGCAGGTTACAGCTTTCTCTGTATCTCAAGTCCTTTAACAGTGGCGAATATAAGGGGGTTTTTGGGGTTAAATACCCCCCCCCCTAGAATCTTGAAATATACATCAAATTAGGTATAAAGATATGCGGACTAGAGATGTCAATGATAGTGTAACGTAACATAAAATGTACGTTTTTGTACGTTACGTTACAATAATGTGTAACGTTTGGATATATTCTATATAACGTGAACGTTAAATGTTAACGTTATGGGAGCTCATATCTAACGTTAACGTTAACGTTAGAGGAATATACCTCCAACGTTAGCGTTTTGTGGAAATGTAACGTTTTTTTTCTAATATCTACAACTTTTTTGACCTGACCAAAATGTAAAGAAATGTTTTGTTTCCAAGGGGAGCTTGAAAGTCTAACGTTTGAAAAATGAATTGAGATTTGATAATATCGTAACGAAAGGATTTCTATTTCAAAGTTCGACTTATAAAAAGTGTAACGTTGTTTAACTGAAAAATGCATTACTGTTTATGAAAACGTTTTGAAACGTTTTCCCATATAGTATAATGAAAAATTCAACGTTGCAGATATGGGTTATTATTTTAATAATCAGGACACGAAAGTTTTTTTTACAGAGTAAAATTTCAATAATTTTACGTATAACATTAAAAAAAATGTAAATCTGTAAATCATAATGTTTCATAACTTTTCTCTGAATACTAAATTGATTAGTCTAACGTTAGATATATGTCTGATGAAAATGTTGTTCATAAAACGTTAGGCTATGAGGGCTGAATTTTAATTTCAAAAGTGTAACAATGATTTTGTCAATCAAAACATTTCAAAACGTCTCTAATATATCAATGTAAGAGATTCGACTGATGATTATAAGAGTAAAGACTTATGGTTTTTCATTTCAAGTTTAAAGAAAATGAGTTTATGCCAAAAACTCTAATTTTCATTTAATATATCTTTGCAACCCGATATCGTAGACCATTAATATTGAAATATACAAGGTATAAACCATCGGGTTGGAAAGTTATAGGGATTAGTAAATTTGAAAAAAACTAAAGTGTAAACGAGTTTCTTTGTAACATGCTATTAGTGAAAATTCAAATCTTATAAATGTTTCTTGGACATCTTGTTTGATGAAACCCACTAAAACTCTGGAAAAGGAAGACGACATTAAGAAATTTTACATATGCATTTTCTGTTATAAAGCAAATGATTTACTAATTGTAAAAATTCATCTTAAGTGGAACGGGTCTGTGAACAAACACAATTGCTGGGTTTCATATTTATTTGACTACTTGAAATCATAACTTCAGTTGGCATGGTTCATGTTTTAGGTTGAAAAGTTTAGAAATGTAGATACTTACTAAAATGCAACAATATTTTATCAATTGGAAAATGCGTGTTATGTTTTATTCATCAATAGATTTTTATGAAACTTTAGAATAGAAAAAGAAAAAAAAATTTAATCTATTTTTTTTTAAAAAGAAAAAATGTTAAACAATTTTATGTTGTTTGTGTTAAAAAAAAAATTTAGCACTTGTCTTACTATATTTGATATTTTTAACCCCAAACATGAACTCTGAAAACATTTTCATTGTGGTCTGTAAACTAAAGCTAATGCCGCTTTTTTACTCACTTTGTAGATAACATAAAAAAAAACACAAAAAGAACTAAAAATTTGCCACAAATTATAATTTTCTAATTTCTAAATCTTTGCAAGCTGTTGTTGTAGATTTTTGATAATTCAAGCTATGACTTCTGTAAGATAAGAATGTCTAAAGGAATTGAGTAGTTCACAAACTTATATTTCTAATCCCGATATCTTTGCTACCCAATATTGAAGACCTTAGATCAGGGGCGTACGAAGGCTTATGGTTAGGGGGGGCACAATTTTGCGCGCGTAAGCGCGCAAAAAAAATTTTTTAGGGTCCTCCCCTTGGAAACAGTATACTAATCTAAAATAATTTAGAACTACTGCTCCACATGCAAAAGTGGTTTGCCTTGCCGAATTTTAACTCATTTAATGAAGTGTCCCAAAACATGTCTATTTTTAAAGCTCGTCAAATACACGATGATAATTTCAAGTGATCCTCCATTTAAAGAGGGACATGCTCGATTCCCAATGAAAACGTGTAAACTTTTATCTGATTGAATGATATTTGAAATTTAGGAATGTTTTCCATAGGGTTGCGAATTGACAATTTAATATTGGAGATATCGCCGTAAGGCCTAAAAAAATATTTCAAAAAATAAATATGATACATCATTTTCTTGGAAATTTCATGCTGAATTCAGATTCGAAAACCATTTTTAAATATATTAAAATCTAAAGAAGTTATGGCCAAATAACGGTACTAAATTCCGGTTTTATAACTTTTTAATGTTTTTGATGAGTTTTTCAGCTCTGACTCACTCAATTTTCAATTTTTTTAAACGCTTTTCAGATTTGAATTTATAGCACTGAATTTCCAAGAAAATGATGAATAACATGAAAATGAAAAATAAAATTTTTTTTGTGGCCTTACGGTGAAAACGCAGCGACTTCCGGTGGGCGGTTGGCTCTATTCCAATATTGATCACCCCTACTGAACATGCCACTCAATAAATGGAAGGTCACTTGAAATTGCGTCTCTGAGTTGAAAGTCTAACGCTAAAAACTTTCATTTACAAATTTTAAAAATCGTTGAAAATAATAATATTATAACATCTTTATATTGCATAATGCATATTCTTCTACACATTCTCTAAAAAAGGTTAACAATACAACAGCAATATACAGGGTGAGTTAAAAAATGTAATTATCACGGAAAAATCTTAGAATGCTTTCATTTAGAAACAATATTATTTTAATAAAGTCTAACATTAGAAACATTAAGGCTTGAACAACGCAACGTATAGAACATTTTTTCAAATCTTTCTTAGAAACGAAACGAATAAACAGTTTTGATTGTCAGTTGTAACAAAAAAGTTTTCACAATAACGTTTCGATAAATCGTAACGTAAGAAAAGTTGCATTTTAGTAAAATTTCTAAACGTAATTAAAAGAGTTTATATTGGAAAAGTGAAGATAAAACGTAACGTTAACAAAAAATATTCTGTGCACTGAAATGCATTGTAACGTCCAGAACTATGCCCCAATGACGTTTTATTAAAGCAAAACGTTTGTCATCTTTTAGATCTTAAACCAAGTGAAAGTGTAACGTAAGGGCTCTGAAAATATTTACCTTGCATGAAAGTGGAGCGTTAAAAAATTGTGGTTTCATTACATAAGCTTTAACGCAACGTTGGGGAAGTTTTTAAACCGGGAAATGCAAAAGCGTAACTGAGCTTACTGATTTTTCACTAACATTTACTAAAGCTTAACGTTGTATAAGGTATTCAAGTGCAGAAAATTCATTACGTAACGTTACTCTATGCCATAAAATTTCATAATGTGCAACGTAATGTTTCAAACGTGCTATCGTAACGAAAGCTAAAATCTAGAAAATCAAAACGTTGACATCTCTAATGCGGACCCAAGGGAAATAATATCAAACAGAAACGGCAAAAAAAATTTCCTCCTAAAACCAAATCTGAACTTTTTGTATAAATTGAGATCATTAAAATTCTCATTCTGAATGGTTACGGATAAAAATAAGCGAAAACCGTAATTATTTTTTGTAAAAAAATTCAGTCAATTTTAAAGAAATGACCTGGATCCAGCTCTGTATTTTTCCAGTGAGAATACGCATCATAATTAATTGGATTCTCAGCACACTGCTAATAAGTAATATGAACAAATTTACTCGAGGGAAAAGATGTTACTCGGGCAAAAAGCATTCTCTATCACAAAACAATTTGTTTTGTATTTCTTTTGCAACAAAATTTTAAAGCTAGGGAAAAATTTCAAAATTATTTTCTTAATTATGATACAGGTTGTCCCACGAAACATAACACTTAATGAACAGTTTTGAATGTCGTCTTCCATGGTTTCTTTCAAATTAGATAATTTCTTCAAAAAAACAAATTTATTTCACTTTGAAACCAATTTTACTATGAAATGACTGCCATGTGATATATTTTATTATTCTTTTTGATAATCAAATTTAAAATTATGGAAGACGATATTCTAAACTCAAACTCCCAGCTGTCATGTTCATTCAGTACGCTAGCGCAAAACTTTCAGAATAGCGGGTTATTTGATATCTCGTCCAATTTTGTTGAGTATCACCGTCGTACTTTCAAAAAATTACAAATGAAAAATAGTTTCACGTTGACTAAAACGTTCTAGCTACACTTAATTAACAACTCGCAGAGTAACAATAATACAAAAGATATTTTTTATTTATACTCGTCTTACAATTCTGGTTCGTCTAATTTTAAGATTAAAGCTGGTTAATTAAAGGTCAGGTTCAAGAAAAATTAAATCCGCTCAGATTCTGAATTTACATAACAGGACTAAAAATTTTCTATGTACAGGTCAGATATACATGATTCACTTGGCTGCCATTTGTGCGGAGATCAACGGCTGAAACAAAAAACTGGTTATTACTATTGTTTATTCCGTGAAAATATCTCCATGGGGGGGGGGTGTAGTATTAAAGTTCTTAAATTTACAATTAATCTCATCAATTAAAGAAGAACTAATCTTAAACCTTAAAAAGAAGTTTAATTGCCCTCTTCTATATCAAATATTTAGTAATTTGTGGCGTATAAGGGGAAATATTGATTACAGTCAGACACAACTAAAAATCACCAGTGTGCGGGGGGGAAATACCGTTAAAAATTCAATATGTTTTGGATTTGCGAAAGTAGCATCATAATAAATTTAAACCAACCTGATTTAAGCTGTAGCTTCGGGGGCAATTGCCTCAGCTTCGTTTGCAGGTTCACTGGGCAAAGCCTTAAAATAAAATGTATGTAATTAATAGTTTAAAATATGAATGATATTTTTATATTCCAAGATACATTTGTTAGGTGATAAAAGTCTGTAGATTAATAAATCAACCAGTATAGACAGAAACCAAACCCTTCAGACATTAAATTTACTTACGGACCCAATAACCCCCCCCCCCCCCCACCATATTTCTGATCTAGATAGACATACCTCCTCTAGCTTCTCAGCAGCAACCTCCTTGAGCTTGGCAATCTTCTCCTGGGTAGCATCAACAGCAGGCTCATCACCCTTCCTCTTCAAACTCTTAAAGAAATTTTTTTATATGACAACAGAATAATTAAACATATTCCTGCCCTTGAAGCAAGTCAAGAGTTTTTAAATCCCTCTTGGACTACCGACTTAAAAAGGTACTAACAAACGTCAAGACAGTACTAACGTTGAACCAGGACAAACGTCGGACTGTAAAAAACGTCGGACAATACAAACGTCGGACTAAGAAAAAAATTATTTTAATTTTAAGATTTTTAAAGGTTATTTCCTTTAATCCACTGGTTAATACAAATCTACAAAAAATAACACGAGTTGTTGTCACTAACTCAAAAATTCTCATCCATGAATTTTTGCAACCTGGTAATGGTATTAACCTTTAATACTTACAACCTAAAACTGTTCGATCTTATCGATTGTTAAAGGTTATACGAAAGATATATGCAAAGATCAAGGCATATTGAAACGTCCGAGTTTAACAATAGAAATTAAGCTTAACTCCTTTTTGGTCGGTTGATTTATACTGTGCTACCACCTTCATAGGATGAGACTTTCTTCAGTTGATTTTTATCAATCACAATTTATTCTTTAGGCAGTGTTTTCTTTCAAACTCAACCAAAGTCCGACGTAGTTCTTATGAATGTACCCGTCCGACGTTTGTACTGTCCGATCTATATAACGTCCGACGTTTGTAATGTCAGATCTATGTAACGTCCGACGTTTGTACTGGTACCGGTCCGACGTTGTACTGGTCCGAAGTTTGTACTAGTCTGGCGTTTGTCCCAGTCCGACGTTTGTACTGTCCGATCTATGTAACGTCCGTTCTATGTAACGTCCGACGTTTTTACTGGTACCCTTTAAATGACTGAAAATTCAGTTAAAGGAGGTCAATACCCCACACAACACGTGGTGGAGGTCAAAAGGGATGTGAATAATCGGATTAAAACTTTTCTAATTGTACAATTTTTCACAACTGGAGGCTGCATGCTCGAAAGATTCACAATGTATCTTGATAAAAAATGTTGGCAAAAAATTTAGAACCCCCTTCCTGTCCAAGAATCGTTTACTAGGACAGACCCGGGGGCCAAAATCCGTATACTAGGACGGACCCGTCCTAAGAGCTTAAGCCCATTAATAATTTCATGTGAATTATTGATATGACTTACCTCAGAGGTTACCTCGGTGGTAGCAACGGGAGTCTCCTCAACGACGGGGCTAAAATAAAATGAATTAAAATTCACTACCAACCTTAAAATAACTAATTTAACGAAAAATATCTTAATTCCAAAACTTACGTGGTGGTTTCGACGGTATCAGCCATGGTTTCAAAAAAGTATAGCGTCTATAAGCTTAGAAGGTACAGAAACGATAAATGTAGAACTGAAAAAGTTTTGAAGTAGAGAAAGGTTGCGAGTGTTGGTACAGGGAAAGTCTAGATTCTGATTGGCGGAGAGCCGGCTAACTTCTCCCATTGGTCAAATCCTGGCACATCTGCATTCTTATTGGTTGATACGTACAAAGAAACACGGAACATACGCTATTTTTCCGACTTAAACGTATTTTTGCACAGTAATTAGAATTTATTTCAATAAGTTAGTATTTTTTGAGAGTCAAAATAAATGTGATCTATCGTTGAAATTTATTAGTTTAATAAAAATTGTTATTTTATTTGTGGTCATACCCGGCAGATTCACGGTTTTGGCGCGAAATATAGCTAAACGTCAAAACACGCGCACCGTAATCCCATGCCCCCCATGTTAGATTAGGGGTGAATTCAGAAATGGTGGCCGGTGGGGGATGGGGGGTTGAGCTGAATGGTGAAATACTTTATAATCATTTACTGTTTTTTGGGCAACTGGCGCGATACTTAACACGTGCACCGTATACGGTCTGTGCAATTAAATTTTTTAAAATCGCAGCAGAATCTATATTCATATGTATATAAATGTATATATATATATATATATATATATGAAAAATATGTTTACCGCGTTGCGTGGATTCACATGACTTCAAAATATTAAATGATTATCAAGAATTACTTCAGAGGAGCACTGATACAATCGTCGGGGCGTGTTCAGAAATTGTACAGGGGGGCCCTTAACTTTTTTCCTTTCCAGGGGGGGGGGGCTGCATTGCAGTGGTCCCACCGGAGGGGGGACTTTTATTTCCGTCCTTTTCCAAGAAATTATAAATTATCGGAAATCCCTCTAAAACTTTTAATTGTTTTGTCGGGGGTTTTCCAAAAAATTTCGATCTATTTCATTTTAACAGTTAAGATTCGTAATATCCCATTTATTTTGATCGGTTTTTGGTTTTAGCAAAAAGTCTCAGTTTTTCAGTTTCCTGTTTTTTTTTTTGATCAATTTCCGCATATTTTTGGTTCGTTTCCGGTTAATTATAAATTCTCAGTATGATTGGTTTCCTCATTTTTTCGATCCGTTTCCGAATAATTATAATCCATTTCAGAAATAGATAAAAATTCTTTGCATGATCAATTATCTTTCTCTTTATTCGAATTTTTTCGGAAGAATACGAGAAATAACGACACCCACTTGATCAAAATTAAAGAGTTAATCAAAAACCCAGTGTACATCGTGTACATATGCAGTCTTAGCCACATGTTCAAAATGAGCAAATATGTACTTTAAGCGTACTGCAAGGTTATTGTTTAAACTGGAAACCCAACATTCTGTCCGAGAAAGATTTACCAGGAACCTTTATATATTTGATAACTAACAAGTGTAACGCAATTTCTGGGGAGAAATTAATCAATCTATGTATGAATAGTTTACATTCCTTCTACACATTCATGCTGCAGTACACTATTTATTCAAACAAATTGGTAAGGTGCTTTCAGGAATGCTCCTGTCAGAAAAGACTACGAGAAAAGAATAAAGTAAAAAGCCTCAAAAATCAACAAACAAAAAAGTTTGAAAATATATGGAAAAGAGAAAATGAAGGAGAATGAAGAAGAAAGAAGAAGTTAGGTTAAAGGAGGGAGAAAGAAGTTTTGAAAGTGTAAAAGAAGGAGAATAGTCAGGAAAAAAGAAGAAAAAAATAAAGAAGGAGAGAAAGAGTGAAAAGGAGTAAAACTGAATGAGAAAGAAGGAGATCGAAAAGAAAAAAGAAAAGAAAGGAGGAGAGAAAGGGTGAAAAAGAGGAAAACTGAATGAGGAAGAAGGAGATCAAAAAGGAAAAAAGAAAAGAAAGGAGGAGTGAAAGAGTGAAAAAGAGGAAAACTGAATGAGAAAGAAGGAGAACGAAAGGGAAAAAAGAAAAGAAAGGAGGAGAGAAAGAGTGAAAAGGAGTAAAACTGAATGAGAAAGAAGGAGATCGAAAAGAAAAAAAGAAAAGAAAGGAGGAGAGAAAGAGTGAAAAAAGAGAAAAACTGAATGAGGAAGAAGGAGATCGAAAAGGAAAAAAGAAAAGAAAGGAGGAGAGAAAGAGTGAAAAAGAGGAAAACTGAATGAGAAAGAAGGAGAACGAAAAGGAAAAAAGAAAAGAAAGAAGGAGAAAGAAAGAGTTGAAAGGGGGAGATGAAAATATCAGCTAATTTGGTATTAAAACATGTTAAACTAACAACTACTTATAGCCTACACTTTTACGATCAACTCCTGATTTTTGATCAAGTGATTTACGATCAGGTGCTTGCACTACTTAAATAGACTGCATTGTGCAAAGGCTTAATTTTAAATAAAATTTGTGACGAGTAATCATGGTTTATCCCAGTTATTTATAGGTTATATATGTATACAGGATAAGACAACAAAAAAAAAGAATTGGTTTACAAAACACAATAAAAATGTTTTTATGGTTGGTGTTTTGTATTAATGAATATTCAAATAAAGTAGGCCAATAGCAAAAATAAGTTTTTGGTAAATGATGGAAATTTGTAAAACCTTTTTTGTAAAAATAATTTTTTTCCTTCCGAGATGGTATTTAAAATGTTTATTCTATTTTAAAATTTCATAAACGGAAGAGTTCTTGAAAGTGCGTTAAAGCAATAATTAGTACAAATCTGCATCTATGCATCCACGCAGACAAAATTGAATTTTTTACTAAATCTATTTTGTATTTAAAAATGTATTCTATACTAACTACTAAGTTGTAAATAAATTTTTGATGTTTTCTCACATGTAAGATTTGTGTGCAGATTTGCACTAATATTTCTCGCAATTTTAGTTTATAGATATATTTGTTTTATTTATCAACTTTAGTTTATAGATATATTTGTTTAATTTATCAACTTTAGTTTATAGATATATTTGTTTTATTTATCAACTTTAGTTTACAGATATATTTGTTTTATTTATCAACTTTAGTCTATAGATATATTTGTTTTATTTATCAACTTTAGTTTACAGATATATTTGTTTTATTTATCAACTTTAGTTTATAGATATATTTGTTTTATTTATCAACTTTAGTTTACAGATATATTTGTTTAATTTATCAACTTTAGTCTATAGATATATTTGTTTTATTTATCAACTTTAGTTTATAGATATATTTGTTTTATTTATCAACTTTAGTTTTTAGATATATTTATCAAAAGATTTACTAATTTCTATGCATTCAAGATGTTAAAAAACGAAAATATTTTTATCATCTCCAAATGCATGGCCCTTTTCATTCTATGTTTAAAAAGGATAAAGTCCAGTGGTGAGTTCAGGGAGGGGCAATCTGAATACTGCTTCATTGCCCCCATCCCCACAGGAGGGGGGGGGGGGGGGGCAGCAATATTGATTTTAAACCATAAACCTTTTATTTCAGTCAAATAAGGCTCGGTTGCTCAAGCAATTTTTTTAGAGAAGTTTCTATAAAGTCGGAGTAATGTTGTGTTTAAGTTCCAAAATGCGATGAAAAACATGGCAATTTCCCTTAAACCTTAAAATGGGTATTTAAAACACGAATCAGAAAAACGATTCAAATTCTTGTGCGCCCTTGCGATGCCCCAAAATCTTTATATATATCTAGATTATCCTGAATCTGTTGTTGACCACAAACTATATAATCTTTCTCCGTAAAATGTCGTCTTAAATAAAATCAAACTCCAGAACCATAAACCCAACCTTTTCTCCGGTAAACAAAACCGACTCGTCAAAAGTGTAAAACACATTTTAATATGGTAAATGCTTAAATTATTATTATTATTATTATTATTATTATTATTACTATTAATAATNTTGATAAATATTCCCAAGAAGCCTTACTAAGTGGGGTAAATATTTCTGAGGTTGGGAACTTTAGTTTATTAAAGGATAAACTTGATGTTATTCGCAGGCTAGCGATCCAAAAGACCTCTAATACAGAACAACCTCTTCAGGGAATACATCAAATTAATCCAACTAATGCTTCAAGAACTTCAATCCCTATTAATCCCCCCCAAGGTATACTAGATCAAAGGATCCCTAGGTTTGAGATTGAAGGGGGAGGGGGGGGTGAGATATCCAGGATCAATACTCCTATTGCTAGAACAACCAGGAGAACTTCCGTGGTCGAGATAGATCAGGAGTTTGATACTCCGAACCCTAGTTCAGTTAGACAGGTTGGATCCGGAGCTAGACCAAAGAAAACTGATGATTTCCCTCCATCCACAGCTGCACTGGATTACACACAGACTCTTCTTAGCTTACTGAAATCTAATCCTAGTGTGAAAGAAGACCCTATCTGCGGATTTGAAATTATTGCTAAATATATTGATAATTGCTTTATTAGAGCAGATTCAAAAACTAGGAAGAATATTCTGCGTATGGGGAAGTTAGAAGACAAGATAGAAGAAATATCCTCTAGCATGAAAAGGAGTGGGGGAGTCATAGATGAACTCAAGAATATCATCATGACCCTGAATGAAAGGTGTGCTGAAACTTGGAAAACTGTTATTGAGGTGGAGAATAAATGTAATAAAGTGTCAGAATCTATGATAAACACAAGGAAAGATCTAGAAGATAAATTCAGGAACATAGAAGAATGGCTGACTAACCTCAAGAGAGATGTAGGTGCGGAGATACCTGCTGAATTGATTGAGTCTGTGAAGGAAGTGATGAGCGATACTCTAACCGGTAACTCTAGTGATGAAGTGGATGAACTAAGACGAGAAATATCCAGGTTGAAGAAGAGCTCCAGTTCCGACAGATTTGTAACTGAAGGTCTCCGTAAATTAGTGATAAGTCTGAAGGGCTTAATGGATGATAATTTGTCCAACATGTCAAATCAACCAACCTATGCTGTCCCTACAACGGTGGATAGTCTTCCTGTTCCTGTGAGTACTGCTGCCCACACTCCGTCTATCGTTAACAACCACCCGGAGATACTTGGTCAAAATACATCTTCCTTGAATATCAATCCCTCTCATCACTCCTTCATTTCTGAAGGATCGTTAAGAGAACGGGAGATAGTCAGGAAGGGTATAGAAAGGGTTGAAAAGCAAGTTCGACAGATGATTCAAGTAGTTATACCTGAGAATCCTATAGATATATCTTTAGTGATCTATTTACTATAGAAGTTGGCAAATTTTTGAGATACCACGGGCAACGGCGGGAACAGCTAATAATAATGGTCATAGTCACGTTGTAAATTATTTTTATGATTATTATTGTTATTATTGCATGTTATTATTATCATTATTGTTTTTATTGTAATTATTATTAATATTGTTATTATCTACTTGAGTATTTATATGCCATCGGAACATCTATTTGGTAATCATAAAATCATAAAGCTCTTTGTTAATGTATTTGTATTACCCCCTGCATTTGATGCTTGATTATTCACAAAGATTGAAAGAAAGTTTAAATTCTAAGAGGTAACTGCAAGTGACCTTCCATTTTTAAAGTGACATGCCCAATAAACACCAGTACTATTTAAACCTTTGTTTGAATTAGGATGAATGGGATATTCTAATATTTACCGGAGGATTTATAAAACAACAACAATAAAGGAAAATGTTAGAATTTAGCAATTTAAATTTGGGTGTAAAGGGTACTGTTGTGAATCGTATATGCCAGTCCTTAAACTTGACTTGAAATTATTTGGACATTAACAGTCCGCTTACCCCCCACCCCCAAGCTATCACAAAACTACCTGCGCCAATCTTCAATATATTGAAGTGTGACAAATGAACAGCCCTCTCTCATTGAATAATGGCTTAGGTCGGTTATATCGGTTTGATTGGTTTGATTGGGTCGAACTGAATAAATTGATCGGCGTGATTATCTTGAATCGATTAGGGTTGAGAATGAAGCAAATAAAGCGTCAACATTGATGATTATGTAAATTATTATACAATGCAGGCGCGCACACCAATCAAAGCACACCTAGCCAACTTTTATATCTATTTTTATATCCCATTATAATATATTGTAAATACTGCCTACATGTATGGGGAGGGGGAGGGGGGTCTAGTGATAACAGATGAGATATCTGATAATTTTTTTTTTTAGTTCTCGGCTTTGAATCGTACGGCTGATTTAAAGTTGAATTCAAATAATTCAAAATTTGTTTGTAAATAGATAGAAGTTATAACTATCAAAAACACGAGGTGGGTGTTGTTAATCATTTGATTTGTTTTAAACTTTTACTATATCTTCCCAGACCCAGACTTCGGCTAAAGTTTTCTTTTATTAATTTTTTCAATAGTTGTATTCTAACAAATTATGGATATCCGAACCGATACACTAGATACACCGATACACGCTCGTTTTTGCATATATATTTTTTCTCCGTGTTTGCAAAATTTGAAATAAAGGCTAATTTTTGCTTAGCATAAACAATTTTTAAAAACATTTACAAAATTTTGAACCTGGAGAAAATATATCAAGTTAACTAAAAAATAGACCACGCAAAGCGCACTGAATAGTTCATATTTCTCATGAAAACTTGTAAATATAAAGTAATCCAACAATTGAACTGTAAGATTTTAGATTTGAGACATTTTTATACACTACAACTAGTAAATATCCTCTCACTAGTCCTTAATAATGGACTATCTTATGTTTCTGTAAAATACTAATCACAGATTATGTAAATCCATGGATCTCATACAACTAGTCCTCACATAATTAATCTACCTTGTTTTAAACACATTTCGCTAACAATTCAAAAAGAGATAATACTGGTACTTGACGGTGTATCGCCTTATCGTTTTATTTTTTTCCAATTTTTGTATTTTTTGTATTATTTGGCAATTCCTTATGATCCCCGTCACAGTTTCTGCTTATGATCTTTTCCATTTATACTTTACTTTACACTAAAACCTTAAAATGTACATTGTAAGCATTTTTTCGTTCTACATTGATCTATCATTGATGTTCAAAATGTACATTGTAAGCATTTTTTCGTTCTACATTGGTCTATCATTAATGTTCTTGTTTTAAACACCTCTCGTCAACACTCCAAAACAAGACTCTATTGGCTAATTAATGGTGTATCGCCTTATTGTTCTTATTGTTTTTGTTTTTATTGTTCCTATTTTTTCGTCAATCATGCAAGTTAGTCGCAACTCGTGTTGTTCTTATGTTTTTTTCGAATCACAACAAAAATTGTGTCATTTACCAAATCTTCAAGATTTCCACATAAATAAATAGTTTTTCGTGTAAAATACTAAAATCAAAATGTACCTATCTTTGATATATATATATTACTTGTTATTTTTGTACTTTTGATCAATAAAAAGATTTGAATAATAATAATAATAATGTTTGCGGATTTGTGTTCGTGTAGAACGTGATGCTTGGTACATTATATACAGGGTGTCCCGTGAAACATGACAATAGCAAGACGTCTTGAAGGTCGTTTTTGATCTTTGAAATACTTTTTGTCTTTAATTCATAAAGCAAATTTTAGAATTAAAATTCTATAGTTAATAGTCACATAGTACCCCTGGTAATAACATTTTCAAAATGTGGTCTGCATTTTTTGAGCTTTCAATATTACTGGAGACATGCCAGGGACCAGGAGACCAGGACCAGGATAATTTTGCGAATATTGTTTCGAGAATCATATATGTCAAAGTGGGTTGACGACTGAATGTCGCAAATAAATTAGAATTCAAAGAGAGCTTTCAAATCGTCTTGCTATTGTCATGTTTCCTGGGACACCCTGTACTACATGAAAGTCCGTGAGATAAATATGTACCTTAAGAACATTTTTAAATTTCATTTATCTATTACCTTGGATATCAGCCCAAAATGTTCTCTAAAAAAGTTTTGGCTCTTAAAAAGTCTTAGGATAAAAAGTCCTGAAAATTAAATGTGTATAGGGAAAAGTCCCAGTTGAATTCAAAACCCAAGACTTTGTTTCCAAGACTTCAGGCATTGGGACTTTTTAACCCAAAATTTAGTTCAAGGATTTGTTCAAGACACTTTTTTCCTGTGACTTTTTTTTTACATAGAATCATTCCTTAGAAGGCATAATTCATTATTCTAAAATTTTCCAAAAAAATATAAAACGATACATTATCAAAACCTTCATAAATTAGATTTTGTCTTTAAAAATGTGATTTTTTTTGGCTTATTCTTTACATGAAAATACATATGAAACATTTCTGCACTTTTTGTGAATTTACAAACTTTTATTGGGCTATCGACATTTTTAGATTGGTTTTAGATAAGACAACGCCCATAGCTAAAAATTTGTCAATAATTTGAAGAAATTGTCGTTTTTTGAGGCTTGAAAAGATGGTTCATTTGAAAAAAAAATTAATCCATCGTTTCTGCAACGTAAATGCGCAAGTTTTGAATTAAAAATACCACTTATAAAAGGGTCACTTAAAATTACTTCAATTAAATCCATTTGAATAAATATTAATTTCATTCATATATCTAAACTATATTTACCAAGAATGCTTAATTCTGTCATATTAAAGCTGTTAAAGTTGATAATAACACAATAACAAAATTTTTTTTCTTCTTTTATTAAGTTATTTAGAAGAAATCTTGTAAACTCTTAAATACAATCAAAGATTTTACATAACATTTCATTTTAAATTTTTCCAAAATATCTAATTAAAATTTGGGATTTTAAAATCTAGTTTTATAATCCTTACAAATACGAAATTTTGAATCTCCATTTCTTAAAAATTTGTATTTGAATCTTAATTTCAATACGTGAACCAATTGCTATTTTTAATTAATTTTAATTTCATTGATTTTAATTGAACCGTAGCAGTAATTCTTTGTGACTGACTATTTGTTATTGGCTGCGGTATGTCCGGTATCCTGGAGAAAAGGAAAACTCCTTCATTCTTAACCAGAACACAGGTCTACAGAGCAGCGCTGTGAATTGGACACTTATTTGACCAGTTTTCCTATAAATTAGGATTACATTTTTTATTTTGTTGAGTTCAAGGGCGTTTACAGGGGAAGGGGGGCAATGTGTTTACAGGCAAGGGGGGGCAGTGCCCTGTAAACTCAGAGCTATCACACTTTTCAAATCTGAAACTGAAGAGTGAAGACCATAAAATGATTAGTTTGCTGTTTTTTTTTCTGCTAGTTTTGTCTGAATGAGAGATAAAGTATTACTTTTAAGGTAATTGGACTGTATGTGTACCTTTAAAGTATCCAATAAGCCAAATGTTTTAATTTACAGTTCAAATTTTGCCCCCCCCCCCCTCTCGGTTGAGTTGTAATATTGCACCGATGCTGTATTTTTAACTGATAAATCCATAAATATTAAATCATTATAAATCACACTTTTCTTTCAATACAAATAAAAACATTCATTGCTTATTGTTCGATAACAATGATGAAAATCTAAAAACTAGAAATATTGATTTTGGATTATTTTTTTTACATCATTCAATATGAAATGTGTTTTTAATACAATTTGAATGGTTGAGAATTATATGTCAATAAATGAATGCATATTGCATGACACCCTGTAACAAAAAAAGACAAAAATAAAATCGAAAAAAAATCAGCATAAAAGGCAGCTAACCCTCAATTATCTGTAGAAGTCGGTTTATTTACTTTTCATTCAATAAGATCTTTAAACTTCCGAAGGTATGTTATGAAGGGAGGGGTGGGGGGTTAATTCAGACTTTAATAGACAACTCATCCTAGTACGAACAGTTCTCCTTATATCTAAAACCAATTAGTTAAACAATGAGTTTAATCTGTAAGTTTAGTATAAACTGGTGGGAACCTTCACAACCCTAGAACCCGGGAACCATGGAACCATTCCAAGAATAAGTCAATCTTGAAAACTCTGAATTCCACGGAGATTTAAAGAAAAGTGTAAACTACGTAGATTACTTGCAGCTCCAGGAATAGAAGGATTCTCAGGGATATAGTTCCTTTACTCAGGGTCCAGGGATACACTGGATATATAGTTCCTTTACTCAGGGTCCAGGGATATACTGGATATATAGTTCCTTTACTCAGGGTCCAGGGATATACTGGATATATAGTTCCTTTACTCAGGGTCTAGGGATATACTGGATATATAGTTACTTTACTCAGGGTCCAAGGGTATACTGGATATACAGTTCCTCTACTCAGGGTCCAGGGGTATACTGGATATACAGTTCCTTTACTCAGGGATATACTGGATATATAGTTCCTTTACTCAGGGTACAGGGGTATACTGGATATACAGTTCCTTTACTCAGGGTCCAGGGATATACTGGATATATAGTTCCTCTACTTAGGTCTAGGGATATACTGGATATAAAGTTCCTTTGCTTAGGGTCTAGGGATATACTGGATATAAAGTTCCTTTACTTAGGGTCTAGGGATATACTGGATATACAGTTCCTTTACTCAGGGTCCAGGGATATACTGGATATATAGTTTTTCTACTTAGGTCTAGGGATATACTGGATATATAGTTCGTTCCTCTACTCAGGGTCCAGGGATATACTGGATATATAGTTCCTCTACTTAGGTCTAGGGGTATACTGGATATATAGTTCCTCTACTTAGGTCTAGGGATATACTGGATATATTGTTCCTCTACTTAGGGTCCAGGGATATACTGGTTATATAGTTCATTTACTCAGGGTCCAGGGATATACTGGATGTATAGTTCCTCTACTCAGGGTCCAGGGGTATACTGGATATATAGTTCCTCTACTTAGGTCTAGGGATATACTGGATATATTGTTCCTCTACTTAGGGTCCAGGTATATACTGGATATATAGTTCCTTTACTCAGGGATATACTGGATATATAGTTCCTTTACTCAGGGTCCAGGGATATACTGGATATACAATTCCTTTACTCAGGGTCTAGGGATATACTGAATATACAGTTCCTTTACTCAGGGATATACTGGATATACAGTTCCTTTACTCAGGTCTAGGGGTATACTGGATATACAGTTCCTTTACTCAGGGATATACTGGATATACAGTTCCTTTACTCAGGGATATACTGGATATATAGTTCCTCTACTCAAGGTCTAGGGGTATACTGGATATATAGTTCCTTTACTCAGGGTCCAGGGATAGCATGCTAATGTCTCTAAAACTAACTCTAATATTGTTTAGAATACACGGAGATGACCCAAAGCTAGTTTTCTGTAACGGTATTGTACTGCATAAGAACCAGGTTCGATCTAGTTTCGGAGATTGGTTTAATGGTATCCTAGAGCTCTCACGAAACTTACATCAGATAGAATTAGATGTGTCAGCCTTCTCTTGTCTAGCAGCTCTCTCCCTAGTATATGGTAAGAACTAATTTTATTATGTAAATTGATGTCTATACAAAATAACAGGAAAATTGTATCCCGATAATTTTGAAAGCAAACGGGTGAACGTTAAAGACCCCCAGATTTCAATTGAAGCCTCCAAGATTTTCATTGGATACCTCCATAGTTTTATTGGAAACCCCAATCTTTTCATTGGACTTGGAGACACCGGATTTATGTTGGAGACCCCAAATTTTCGTTGGAAACTTCCAGTTTTTAATTGGAGACCCCAGATTTTCGAAATAGACTCCCAGATGATCTTAGGAGGCCCCCATGCAGCTTTACATTGAGACCCCAGATTTTCGTTTCAGACCCCCAGATTTTCTTTGGAGAACCCCAGAATTTTTAGGGAAACCCTAAGATTTTCATTGGAGACCCCAAATTGGGGGTTAAAAACAAAAACTGTGGACTTACGAGTTCTCCAATAAAAATTTTTGTTTCTCCAATAAAAAAGGTGATTTAAAACGAAAAGTATGGGATTCCAAATGAAAATATTGGGGCCTCCGACGATAAGTTTGGGTCTACATTGAAAACATTTGGAGACTTTAATGAAAATCTGAAGGTCTCCAATGAAAATTGGGGGTTTAAGACAAAAATTTTGAGAATTTTCCAATGTGAATTTGAGGGTCTCCAATGAAAATCTTGGAGGTCTCCAGCGAAAATCTTGGGGATCTTTAATGAAAATCTGGGGGTCTCCAATTATAATTTTGGGGTCACCAACGACAATATGGGATCTCCAATGAAAAGATTACGCCTAATGCTCGGTTTCTATGAGGCAGTAACCAAGCATTAACCCTAATGCTCGGTTTCTATAACAAGGCAGAAACCACCCATTTCCCCCTAATGCTCGGTTTCAAGGACGAGAAAGTGTTAGAGTTCCCCAACTGTTAGTATTTAGTCCATGTAAAAAAGTTCAATTAACAAATGCAATCACAAACTCTCTTACTCTTCTTCATATAATTACTCCAAATGAAAACATAATATTAAAACAAAACAGGATTAAAATTATTAAAATAAAACATAATATGAAAGAAAAGGTTATGTTTTAAAGAAATTAAAACAAAATTACTGGAATAAAAGATTTCGTAATTAATAAAAGACAATTGTTGGATTTAGGAAAATATACTTTTTTGTGATTTTGTGTGTTTTTCTCATTCCAATTTCCAATTTACCTGGATTAAAAGGAATTGCTGTTAATGCTTTCAATCATTCAATGCCATTAACAATTATCATTCTTTGAACTCCGATCAAATAATTGAAAATTTTGTATTTCAGAACGCCACGGTCTGACTGAACCAAAGAAAGCAGAAAATCTAAAAGCCAAACTTATCAACACGCTGCGAGACCACGTGACCTTCCACCCTGAAGCGCAAAGAAAGCCGCAATATTTGAGCAGAATTCTAGATCGTCTTCCGCAGCTCCGCTCCCTAAGTGTTCAGGCGCTACAGCGGATATTTTACCTGAAGCTAGAAGGTTTAGTTCCTGCTCCTCCTCAAATAGAAAGAATGTTTGCCTCCAGTATTCCCTTCTAATGAACCAATGGTGTACCAAACTCAAGACTAAATGTTCAAAGTTTCTTAAACATGCTGGACATATCTCTGAATCGCCATATTTACGAGTTTTCATTAGATGTCTAGAAATGGATTTAATTATTCGGCATTGGAGGCAAAAACCGATTATATCAGATGATTGCACTTTACCCAGTATATCTGTCCGTTGTCCGTTGTAGTAGAAATTAGCCTCCATTTTGCTTTAAAAAAAAGAATTACATGATTTAAAAACTTTAACCTGGTGATTCCAAATCCTAAAATGTACAGCGGCATTGTGGCCGAATATGCGTGAACACGCAAACCAACCTAGTCAAATCGGTGATATACAAACAAGCCGGGCTTTGAGCCTGATTAGTGGGCAATCATGCGGGGTAGTCAGCCCGGTCAATCAAGCCGGGTAGTCAGCCTGTTCAATCAAGCCAGGTAGTCAGCCCGGTCAATCAAGCCGGGAAGTCAGCTCGGTCAATCAAGCCGGGCAGTTGGCTCTGTCAAATATTTTCCAAAGAAATACAAAAATCTAATTAGAGAAATGTCTGAGCTTACTTTACAAATTAAATCTAAAATATAATTAATGAAAAAAGTCAGCTGTAGCTCAAATAGTTAAATTTAATTGTTAAATAGATTGTGTTCGTAATTTCATGTGACAGTTATAAATAATAAAAGGGCAATCATGGGATTGGGTTATGTCGATATAAGGTTATGTCGATATAAGAATGTGGCATAGGCTAACTTTTTTTTTTGAAATTCCACGGGCAAAATTCAAAGTCATAATTTAATACCACTTGCGCAAACGGCGGAGTAACTATGACATTTAAAATAATAATAACCGGGACAAAGCCCGGGCTCTCCAGGAACTTAAAAATAGTTCAGTACTTTATTTGAGATTAATCACTCAATGTATATCATTTGAAAACTAGGGAATCACATGGAATTACGAAGACACTCCTCTTTATGTAAAAAGAAATTTGCATAACTGCGCTGAGATGGCTCAAATTACTGATTTTATCAAATTTCTATATTGTTACCCAGATCCTATTCTCTGTTTAGCAAACACAAATTTCATTTAGGTATTTTACTTTAGTCGTAATATGTACTACAAACAAACTTTAAGGTTTTTTGAGATATAGTCATAAAACGAAATTTTCGTCTTAATTTTTGTTTCTAAAATAATTTTGTCTAGCCTACATATTAGAACGAGCAAAAAATTATAAATAATTGACAACCAAAAGATTTAGAATTGAAAGTTTTTCTTTTTTACCTGATAACCATGTAGATTGTACAATAGCTTTAATAATACCCTACAGCAAACAAAATTCAGAAAACGGCAATTTTTTTACAGAGGAAATCTTGTAACTTGAAATATATGCTGAGAACCTAAATATTCTGTGCACTGAAACTCGTGAAGCACTCTCTACATGTACAGCGTAACTGTACAGTAGTAAGGTTTACACTGTACACACTTATCTTTAGTTTTTCTGATAATAAATATAAACAATTAGATTATTTGATTATGTAGAAATAAAACAACTTTATAATAATTTCATTTATAATTTAAAAAAGTTATAATTTTACCAAATGTTATTTGTTATGGCTTTACTAATAATTGAAAAAAAGGGATTGTGGAACAAATAGGAAAATAGACAACTTATTAGATTTTTGTATAAATTAGAAAGGGATTGTGGAACAAATAGGAAAATAGACAACTTATTAGATTTTTTGTATAAAAATTAGAAAGATGAGCAAAATGGGGAAATTAAAAAGAAGAAATAAATAAGAGGTAAATGTATAAAGAATATACAAAGGAATGATAAAAACTAAAAAAACTGAAAAAAATTTAAGTTTTTGAACACAAAAATGAGGAGATATTTATATTTATAAATCTAGATTTTTTTGCCTCCGGATAAAAGAATTGAGTTTTTGTCACAAACTCTGATTTTCTAATTTCTATTTCCTATATCTTTGTAACCGACTTTCATAAAGCTTTGATATTTAAAATTATGAGTTCTAAAAGATTAAATAATCCAAGTTTGAAATATCAAAGCTTAACACCATCAGGTTTCAAATATATAAGGATTTGAGTAAATTTGAGTTTATGGCAAAGACTCCATTTCTCTTTAAAAAATTTATGATAATTCAACTATGTGCAATAAAAAATCTGCTATTTTTTCAGTGAAAGAATGTTTGAGGAAAAATGGCATCTATCTTTATACTTTACTTGTCTGTCTTGGTCTTTGTTTGTTTGTATCCAATAAATGTCAAAACGGCTGAACCGAATAGAATAGCAAAAAAGTTGACGCTTAACATATGTTTAATTTTCATAAAATTTTGAAAATCCACGAGAAAAAAATTGTAAATCAGCAATAATTTGTATCATTGTTTCATCGAAGAGAAATTGCTGAAAGATTGGAAACAAAAATTACAAGTTATAAAATAGAAAACGGGTGCAAAGCGTGCTAATAACCTATTGGTATAGGAATCTTTATCTAAAATTAAGCATAAGGTATCTTTATTTGAGATCTTCCGGCATTTGGGATAGGGTTTAATGTTTTAAAGAGCATCCAATAGTTTAAGTATAAATTTAGGTAGCAAAATATAATTTATATTTGAGGAAAACTCTAATACAAGAAAAAGCAATTGAGTCTTTGCCACAGACTCCGAGTTTTTAATCCTTTGTGACCCAAAGTCGTAAACCGTTGATATTTCAAACTATGAATTCTCTTTGACAAAATAATCTATAGGAGCAAAGAATGAATTTCTTTGTTGAAGAACCTTCCATGGCTCCAGAGAAGACTGTTTTGTCTCAAATTGTGATTGGGGAGCTCGGTAGAACCTCGGGAATGTTCTTCGCTTGGTTTAAAAATTATAAGTCTATGGGGTTGACTTTTATAGGCACTATAGTTTTAGTAGAAGTAAATATTTCCATTTTCTGTTATAGCGTCGATATAATGATTTATCTCTAATTGGATAATGAGCTGGATAGAAAGATAGACGTTACCGCCATGCAATTTCTATTGGTTCAGAATAGACACCAAACACATGGCTGAACCCTCATTGGATCAGGCGCTAATGGACTCTGAATACTAGAGTATAGGGAAAACTCTAGACAAAGCTGGGTTCCCGAGTTATAAGCATTAGCCTGACAACAAAAAGAAATCAAAAGCCATAAATTCAAAAGCATAAAACATTTTTTCTTTTAAAACTAATTTGATTGCATAATAATCAAAAGCCTTCTTAATCATTTTTAATTATGACTTATTCAAATGAAAATATAAAGAAGATTATTTAGATTAAAAATGAGTATTTTTTTCCAATTAATGATGACAGATATGCAAATAAAGGATAGATAAAAAATCCATCTTTGTCGCGGAAACTAACGATTTACCGACAAAGGCTGTCGGCACTTTATATAATTATCTCATTCGCCAGTTTTTTAATTTTATCTTTAAATAAAAGCGCAATAAAACAAACCAGCTCTAGAGCTAAATACTAAAGTAAACTACCAGTTTGTAAACATGTTAAATACCTTTCAAAAACTAACTTTATGTCCGTAATATATATATATAGGAAACATAACATTTTATTTAAAATTATTAACTGAATGTTAAGGATTTCTCACAATTTTGATAGTACATATCACAAACTATAATATGAAAATACTTTGTTTACAAAGTAATGTAACGAACCGAACCTGTTCCATAAAGGAATTAAGTCATTGCCAAAAAAATCAATTTTTCTAATCCACATATCTATCTTACCTGATGGTGTAAACGTTTAAGTTTTAAAATTATTGGGTTAATTAATTCATAGTTAAATATCTAAGGTTTAGCAAAGGTGTAAGGATTAACAAATTTGAGTTTTTTAATTCCATTTGACTGATGGAATGTTTTTAGTTTAATTTGATCGATGGAATGTTTTAGTTCAATTTAACGGATAGAATGTTTTTAGTTAAATTTGATTGATGGAATGTTTTTAGTTAAATTTGATTGATGGAATGTTTTTAGTTAAATTTGATTGATGGAATGTTTTTAGTTAAATTTGATTGATGGAATGTTTTTAGTTCAATATGACTAATGGAATGTTTTTAGGTCAATTTTACTGATGGAATGTTTTTAGTTCAATTTGACTGATGGAATGTTTTTAGTTCAATTTGACGGATGGAATGTTTTTAGTTCAATTTGATTGATGGAATGTTTTTAGTTCAATTTGACTGATAAAATGTTTTTAGTTCAATTTGACTGATGGAATGTTTTTAGTTAAATTTGACTGATGGAATGTTTTTTTGGAACCCCAGTTCAATAAGTCGGGATATGCAATGTACATGTGTTGTGGATTCTCTGGATCAGAGAATAATGATTCATTTTTTACTTAAACTCGGTTCTAAGATAATTTTGCAAGAATATCAAATGCAAAAAAAACACAAAAATAAATTGACCAAAGTTTTGCAAACAACGATTTCTTCCAAGATATTTTAGAAGTTAGTAATTTAAAAAAATGCATAGAGAGACAGTTTTTTTTCTAGTTTCTTTATATTTCCAAAATAGAAATAATGATTCATTTTTTTTTTGATTAAACTCGGTTCTAAGATATTTTTTCAAGAATATCAAATGCAAAAAAAATCACGAAAATAAATTGACCAAAGTTTTGCAAACAACGATTTCTTCCAAGATATTTTAGAAGTTAGTAATAAAAAAAAATGCATAGAGAGACAGTTTTTTTTCTAGTTTCTTTATATTTCCAAAATAGAAATAATGATTCATTTTTTTTTATTAAAATCGGTTCTAAGATATTTTTTCAAGAATATCAAATGAAAAAAGTACAAAATAAATTGACCAAAGTTTTGCAAACAACGATTTCTTCCAAGATATTTTAGAAATTAGTAATTTAAAAAAATGCATTGAGAGACAGTTTTTTTTTCTAGTTTCTTAATATTTTCAAAATAGACATAATGATTCATTTTTTATTAAACTACAAAAGAACTTTTTTTTAGTAAATTTGATTTAGATGAGAATCCAATAAACATATCATTTATTCAATTACTTGCCTTTATCCAGTAAACCGACCTTTTCTACTATTCAATCAGTTTAGTGAAAATAAATAAATAAATAAATAAATAAATAAAAACAATTTGGGAAAGTAGGATTGAATTTTCAGGATACAGAAAAGGTACACGGATGAGGGGTGGGGGATTATCCCCAGAGAGGGAGGGGGATATCCCCAGGGGGGGGCAACATGCAACCAATCTGGGAATTGTAACTCAAATCTATGCGATGAATAATGCATTCTGATTCAATATTCAATTTATCAGTAAACATAGATTTGTTGCCTTCAATCTTTTTCAGCCCCCACCCTTCACTTACTCTAGCCTTTCACGCCCCGCTTTCACTCATCCCCTTTCCTTCCCCCCTTCACTTATCCCCTTTTATTTTCGTCCCCTTCCTTTTCACTCCCCTACTCCTAAATATCTCTAGTTACCTCTTTCCCATGCAATCCCTTACTCTCCTATTTTCTTCCATTTTTTCCTTCCTCTCCTGTTCTCTTCCCATCTTATCCCTTCCTCTCCTGTTCTCAACCCATGTTTTCCCTTCCTCTCCTGTTCTCTTTCCATCTTATCCCTTCCTCTCCTGTTTTCTTCTCATCTTATCACTACCTCTCCTGTTCTCTTTCCCATCATATCCCTTCCTTCCTGTTCTCCTTCCCATCTCATCCCTTCATCTCCGGTTCTCTTTCCCATCTTATCACTTCCTTCCTGTTCTCTTCCCATCTTATCACTTCCTCTCCTGTTTTCTTTCCCATCTTATCGTTTCCTTTGTGTTCTCTTTCCATCTTAATATCTCCTTCCGTCTTATCCCTTTCTTTCTTGCTCTTTTTCCATTTTATCTCTTCCTTTCCTGTTCTCTTTCCCATTCGATCCCTTACTCTCCTGTTCTCTTGATAGTTTTATCTCTTCATCTCCTAATCTCCTTCCCATCTTATCCCTTCATCTCCTGTTCTCCTTCCCATCTTATTCCTTCATCTCCTGTTCTCTTTCCCATCTTATCCCTTCCTCTCCTGTCCTACTTCCCATCTTATCCTTTCCTTTCCTGCTCTCTTTCCCATCTTATCCTATCCTTTCCTGCTCTCTTTCCCATCATATCCCTTCCTCTCCTGTTCTCTTTCCCATCTTATCCCTTCCTCGCTTATTCTTATATCATTTGTAATTTAAAATTTTTATTCAAATTTAGTTCGATGCTTCTCTTATTTAATAGATTAAATATTTAACTGAATATTAAAAGTGGAGAACATTTTTCATATTTTCACTTTCAAGAATCAAAACTATTTTATTCTCAAATTTAAATTCGAAAAAAGAATGATTATTTTCTGATCTGTCTTTTAAATATCGAGTTAACTATTTGACCAACTCTACGTATCTTCTAATCTGTATTATCAACTTCGTATGACTAAAATGTCTCCCTTTCTACGCAACATTAAAAGCATTTTTAATGTTTTATTTTTTATTTTGT